CTTCGTTCAGGCGGAGGCTGGAAAGAAAAACGATAATCACCAGGTAAGCAAAGAGCAACAGCTCTCTCATCTGCTCCCTAAAAAAACGTGTGCTGCAATATGAGACATAAAAAAACGTAGAGGACTGAAGAGAGACCCCCAGAGAGCCACATTTTGGGAGTCTCCATGATTTATCGTGGCACTGGGCACTGCTGAGGGTCAGTACTGGCTGTTGAGGGCTGATCTCTGACGAGAGCCAGTGAAGGCACCAGGACCAAGGTACTTCACACACACTCAGCTCTGGGGGAAGGAGCTGTCCTGGCAGCAGCTTAGGACAGGTTGGGAGTGGAAATGTGCAGATTTGACGGCTGGGGCAAGGATTCCTCAGGGAAAGCAGAGGCAGGAATTTGGGAATGTGCCTGAGCAGGAGGGTGGACTCAGCTTTGGTCGTGCACAGGGACATCCATCCATGTCCATCCCATGGACAGATGGAAGGACAAACCATGGAGAGAGCAATATCCTACCAACAGCCTCAGCAGTGGGAATACCATCCCCTTTCCCAAAACCTTTCACTTCCCTGCTTTTATACCCGCAATATTTCAGGAAGAAAATGAAATTGGGTGCCCCCTGTGCCCTGCTCCAGCTGGCAGGCAGTATTCAGGGCTTGAAGGCAGCAGGAATGCCACAGCAGGACAGAAAAGAGAGAACACTCAACGGCAGGCAGACCTTGGGATGCTGCTCCTCACCTGCCGTCGAGGGAATCCAAACTCTTCTGCTTGTGGGACACCTCCAGCTTCTCACGACCGTGCCTGGGCTCAGGGCTCTTCAGGGGAGCTGCCTTCTCATGCATCGGCGTGGCACTGCAAGGAGACACCCATCAGCCCCCTAGGGAAAGGGGAAAAGGGGTCTGGAGCTGTAAATCTGTTCCCTTCAATCCCAGCCTGCACAGAAACATGAGAATCTGCCGCTCAAGGACAGCAACAATACTTCTGCTATTTCTCAAGTCATATGGAGATTAAAAAAAAGTCATTTTTCTGCCAGGGACACCCCGGCGCTCAGAACAGAGCAGCCAAATTGCTGCGGCTCCCTGTGATAACACCCTCCAAAGCAGAGACTCTTCTCCTTAAGCGCTGGAAGCTGGGATGGGAAAAACCACAGGGCTATGAAACGCCTTGGGGGGACAGATTTCAGCCAGGGTCTGCTCCTCTTGGTCAGCAAACACCATCTTCCCAGGGCAGAGCTATCACCAGGCACCTTAGAGCCACTTATTTACCATTGGGAATGTTATCAGAGGTTGCTTATCAGCCACGGCAGGCAAAGCAAACACGGGCCCAGCGCCGCAGGCAGGTTATCACCTGGCAGGCCACAAAGGTGACACCTCCACCCTCGGCAAACCACTGGATATTGCTGCAGCACTGGCAGCCAAGCAGAGCACCATCCCAGGGGACCGGTGGCAAGGCAGAGCCAGCAAACAGCCACAGACCCATGGAGAGGAAATTATTCCAGGGAAAGCACTCAGCTCACTAGGCAGGGGGCGATGGCAGAGCAGGTGGGGCGGCGGCAGGACAGGATGAGCGCCAGCAGGCGGGACAGGCGCAGAGCTGGAGCGCATCCCGGGGCCCGCGGGGGTGATGCCATGGCAGTGCGGCAGAGCCCAGGCCGAGGAGCCAACCAAACTTCCTACACTCTGAGAGCAGCTCCTTCGCCACCTGTACTTCCCTACACACATCCTGCTCCTGCTCTGAGGGGCTCATCTGAAGGAAAACCCATGAAAATAATCCCCCCAACTCAGGAAAGCCAGGATAGAGGTGCTGGATCCCAACAGCTGGATCCCAGCATAAATGGGCTGAGAGCTGAAGCTGTGTGAGCTCCCACATCCCCACAGCCTCAGAACCCAACCAAAACACTGTCCAGGTGCAATGGAGCCCAGCTGACTCCCAGCTGGAGGCACAGGGAATGCTCCCACAACACCTAACACATACATGGGGGCACAGAACCAAAGAGAAGTCACTGGTGCCTTGAGGTTGGAAACAGGCTGGGAAATAGCCCTGGATCGCCACAGCCCCTGTTGGCAAAGACCTGCCTGCATGCACAGCCCTGGAGTCCAAGCACTGCAGGGATGGGATGGACACACTGAGGTTGTGGGTTTTTAGGAGCTCAGGTCAAAGGATGTGTCAGGAAGGAAAAAGAGACCTTACTGACAAGAAGCAGCAAAATAACATCCCCTGGCATAGCATCAAAAGGTGTTTTCCCTGCCTGGCTCCTCAGGTATCCTCTGCCAGGGGATGCCATCCTGCCCTTAAGCTGAAACTCCTATCATGGAGGCACCAAGCCTCCATCTGCCCTTCTCTCATGCTGGAAAGGGGCTATGACCCAATCTGAGCCTCCTTGTCCAGAGCTCAGCACTCTCTGGCTTCCCTCACGTCATCCCTTAAATCCGCAAGTGCCTGCACTGCTTAATCCGGGTGAGCGGATTTATCCCCAGCCGGCGCTGACACCAAGGGGCACCACACAGGGACTGGGGAGAGGCAAAGGCATCAGAACCACCTCTGAAGTCACCAAACACACAGAAATCCCCTAAAATGAGAAAATACACAGGCTGGAAAGCACTTGGAAGTGCTGCATCCTTGTTTTCTCTCCCTCTCATAGACACCATCAGGGACAACTCCCAGACACAGTGCTGGCAGTGGGATGCTCCAGGGGGAGTCTGGGGGCTGTGAGGAGCATCCTCAGCTCCAGCAGGGACATCACAGGAGCTGCTTTGTCTCCTCTGTCCAGATCTTGCTCCATCCTGGCTCCTAGATGCATCAGGGCTAATGTATGGGATGCATCCCACACATCCAGAGTGTGGGAGCACAGGGTAAGGCCAGGCTCCAGGCACAAGAAGGTTTCCCTTCCAAGAGGTGCTTCCAGTGCCAGCACAGTAAGGAAAACTTTCTAGCAGCTCATACTGTCATCCTCCTCAAAGAATTTGTTCAGCACCAAGCTGTTCCTAAGGTAAACTCACCATCCCAAGTGTCCCAAAATACAAGTGGAACAAAACCAGTCGTTCAGAGCTCCAGAGAGGAGGCAGAGAGGGTTGATGTAGAAGTTCCCAGCAAGGTGAAAACAATCCAGCGACCTGATGCCCCTTTGCCCATTTCTGACACCTCCTACCCGCCCACCCCGGCTCCCTGAACCCCCAGGTTTTGCCAGGCGAAACCCGGTGCTTCTCCCTCCCACGGGATCCGCGTCTCCCTTCCCTTACGCGGCGCTGGGATCCAGCCTGGAAAAGGTCCGGCGCGAGCCCCTCCGTCGACGAACGATTTTCGCTGGATCCCTTCCCCGCTGCCGGAGAAGCGCGCGGCGGAGGCCGGAGCGAGCCAGGCAGGGATCCCGCCTCCCAGTAAACCCCGGGAGGCTCAGAGGCGGAGGGAGGCACCGGCGGGCGGGCGGCCGCGGCCCGAGCGAGCCCGGGCGGGATTCGGCGAGCTGCCCTTGGTCCCGGCGTCCAAGGTCATTTCAGTCCCGCGTGTCGGAGCTGGAGCGGAGCCACCCCGGGATGCTGGAGAGGAACGGCCGGAGCCGAGCGGCGCTGGCGGGAGAGAACGAGGCGCGACGTCAAGGCCGGAGGGAGCCCCGCGTGTCTGTCCCGCGGTGTGCCCGGTGTTCCCCGCCCCGGGAACCGGGGGGTCACGGCCGGGACAGAGCCGAGACCCGGGTCCCGGGATGCCCGTAGTGCCCGGGGCGCTGGGTCTCATCTCACCGGGACCCGCTCCGGGCGGGGCCCCGCGGCACGGAGGGAGCACGAAGGGAGGCGACCCTCGTGCTGCGGGGCTGAGCGGGGCACGGCGGGACTGTGGGTCTCGGCCACGGCCGGGGCCGCGCCCGGGCCAGCCCCGGCGCAGATCCCATCCCCGCCGGCGCTCAGAGCCCCTCAGGCGAAGCCGGCGGGTCACCGGCGGGCAGCGGCGGGACTTCTCCCCGGCCCGGCCCGACCCGGTCCGTCCCGTCTCTTCAGGGAACGGGCGACGGGGTGCCGGTGTTTCCGCGCTCCCTTCAGCGCGGCGCCGCCGGCCGGGACAGGCCGAGGGCCAACACCGGCTCCGCGGCGGCGGCGGGAGGGACGTGGCCCCGGCACCCTCCGGCCCCGAAGCCCTTCCCGGTCCCAACCCCCCTTCAGACCCGGGTCCCCCCCCGGTCCCGGAGCCCCCCGAGCCCCCCTGCTACCTGCGCGCGGCCCCGCGCGCCGCCGTCATGCCCCGCGCGCCCCGGCCTCCTCGCGCCGCCACGGCGCCCGCCCATTGGCCGCCTGTCGCCTTCCTCCCCACCCATTGGCCGCACACTACCGAGCCCCGCCCCCTTCCTTCCGCCCATTGGCTCCCACCGCCCGGTCCCGCCTCCGCCACGCTGAGTACCACATCCCGCCCCCACAGGCCCCGCCCACCACCGTGAGGGCCGGAGCCTGGCGGGGTCCCGGCCCTTAAAGGGAGCGCGGTACAGGCTCTTAAAGGGGCCGCGCGGCGGGCGAGCTCCGGGCTTCCTCCGCCCTGGGCGGGTCTCAGGCCACGCGGGAGGGACCCCCAACAGGCCCCGGAGCCCCTGCTGGCTCTGTCCCCCAGGCACAGAAACCCCAGCTCTCAGACTCCCCACTAAAACGCCTGTAGAGCCGCACTGACTCCTTGGGCCCACTCCCCACCCCAACAGCTGCCTCCAGGCCTGCCGCTCCCTCCCCTGTAGAGCCCCTCCACCAGAGCCCCCTCACCCCCTGCGAGCAGCCCCAAGCCTAGCTAACTCCTCCACTGGCACCCTCAAACTGCAGCACATTGGCCCAGCCCCTGAAGACCCCCACACCAGACCCCCGACCAGACAGCCCAAGTACTGCAGACTCCTTCACCAGATTCCCACCCAGAAGAACCCTAAGCACTGCCCCATCCTTGCAGACCTCCCCATCTCCTGTAGCCCTTCACCAGGAGACCTACCTCTACCCCTACCCCTGCAGAGCCGTCACCAACCCCCAGGGAGCAGCTCAGCCCAGCAGGTGCTTCAGCTTCTCTTTATTGATGGACAGTTGTGCTCTCCCACCCCAGGGCCCATCAGAGTGCTGGGTGAGGGGGGGACTCTGGAGTGGTGGGGGGACATGACTAACACAGGAGACAACGCTGCAAGGGGAGCACGGGAAGCTCTGTGCATGGAGCTGACACTCTTCCCCTGCCCCCATTCCAAAAAGAGCCAGCTGAGAAAGGCTGGATCTGCCTTGGACTGGGCCTGGAGAGGAGTGTAGCCATTACAGGAAGGGGGAGTAGCAGCTTGCCTCGAGCAAGGAGGGGTCCAGCAGAACTGTTGACCACATCGCCTCTCGCCTTCCCCAAAACCCCACACCAGGGCCAGGGAAAGGGACATTTCACACTCTGAGGACAGTCACCAGGAAAGAGGAGTCCCAACAGCACGCAGAAACCTCCTACGCTGACTCCAACACACATCAAGGCAGGACTTTAACTACAGGGAGAGATTTTTAAAAAACTAAACACTTCAAGTATATTTTTTTTTAGTGATTTAAGGTCTCTTGCCCCTGCTGCTGCTGCACTGGGTGGTGTTTAGCAACCTACATCCACTCTAGGGACAAGGACAACAGCGCAAGCGATGGCTGGTCTACTGCAATGGGAGACAGGGCAGTGGGGTGGTGGGAGGGCAGGGGGGCAGGAGAAGAAGGCCCGGTGGGCGCTCAGGGTACGGGCACCACGCGCATGGTGTTGGTGTAGCCAGAGCCAGGGCGCCAGCCCGTGAGCACGATCACCAGGTCGCCGCTCTTGAAGAACCCTCGAGCTTTGCCTAGGAGAGAAGAGGGAGGTGTCAGAGCCCAGTCCCACCCTGTCTCCTTGCCAAGGGGCAGCAGTGCTCATCACCCACTCCCCAAGTCACTAAGGCTGCCTGTGCCACAGTAGTTGGGGCTCCAGGAGGGTATCAAGACCCCACCTTCCTGCTGCCCACCCATCTGACACCCTTCACCTCTGCTCTGGGGTTCTCTCAACAGAGCTTGAAATTCCACAGCACATGATTTGTAGAGGTGAAGGACAGAGTCAACCCCACTCCAGGCTTCCCTTGTCCCTCAGGAATAGTGAGCGTCACAGGTCTATCACTCACCACCATAAACCCAACCTGGTCTTCTTGGAAGCTCCTTAAAGGCAGCTGTGCCAAACCCACCACCCCATTTCCCAGTCGGATGTGGTTCTGCTCATGCAAGCATCACCCATTTCCTGTCCGGATCCAGTTACCACACAAGCAGCCAGTTCCTCTCTTCCCATCACCAGTGACCCCAAAGTATGCTGGTGCTCAGGGCCACCACATGCCACCAGAGCCATGTCCCAGGGGAGGGGGAGGGTGCCACTCACCAACATTCATGCCCAGGGTGACACGCAGGTCCACGTCCTCGGCCCAGGCGTCCTGGGCAGGGTCTTTGCAGAGCACGGGGAAGATGCCGCGGTACAGGTGGGCCTGGCGCGCCGTCTGCTCATTGCGGGTGATGGCGATGATGGGGGCCCGCGGGCGGTACCGCGACACCAGGTGCGCCGACCTGCGGGGAAAACGGCCACCGTGGGGCTCCACACAGCCAGCACAGCCTCCAGAGAGGACACCTGGCAACGGCCTGCGGGAGCACAGCAGCCCCAAGGTCTGTCTGTCAGCCACCAGGGCTCCCCAAAACCCCTGGGGGCATGTGACTGGTCTCCACAAAAGCCACTCACCAACCAGCTTGGTGCTCTGCTGGACTCCCAGTTAGGCAACTGGGCAGACCAGCACTGGCTGTCCCCACTGGCGGTGACAACCTCCTCACCTCCAAGTTTAGCAAGTGCCACCAGGGTGTTTTGGTCCCTGAACAAGCCTTTACTTGTCTCTGTTGCTATGTTAGGGTGGCGAGGTGCCATTTATTCTGGCCTCCGCAAGCAGGCCTTGGCATCTCAACAGGGGTCCCTGAAAGTTCCCTGTTTTGAGGAGCTCCCGGTTTTCAGGGTGGAAAGAGCCAGTGCCAGCAGCATTGCCCAAAGCATGCCAAGGAGGAAGCCATCTGCCTCCCAGCCACCTACTGAAGCCAGCAAACAGGCCAGTTCCTCCACACAGAGCTCTGCTCCTGCACCCCATGGGAAGCAAACGCAACAGAGGCGTTTGCTTCCCAAGGCGTTTTAATATATAAAATTTATACTGGGAAGTTGGGCACAAAGTCCTTAAAATGCTTTAAAATAGCAGCAGCACAGCCTGGGTGGGGACTAGACTACAGCTTTCCTTTCTCTGAGCACTGCTGAGGGAGAGCAATCTGCAAACAGATTCAAACTGCAAGGCTGTGGCTGCAGCTCCAACTTTCCAACGGACATGCTGGTGTCTCCACTTGCTTTTGCAGCCCTGTTTAGTGGAGCCAAGCTCAGCAACACACAGATGCAAAGTTTGCTGCTTAAAGCAGGGGTCAGCAGACTGCTCCAAGCACCCAACCACACGTGCCAGCTCTCAGACAATCCTTCCCACACTGTCCGAGCCGCCTCCCGTGAGATCCGGGAGATTCAGGTACTCACAAGAGTTAACCTAATCCACAGCTAAAAATATTCAAATATCAGAGTTCAAATCTCTTTAAAAGGTCAAGTGTAATGCTGGAACATTTGACAAAGAAACATTAGAAGCACGAGGACATCCAGAACTCGGTGCTTTATAGTTCCTTCCTCATCTCTGCAGAAAGTCATTTTCTGCTCAAAATCATTTTAAGCTGTACATTTTGGTGACGGTTTCCCCGATGGTCCGCATCTTCAGGTATGTGTGCTGCACTACTGTTTTGGTGTGAATCCAGCGTGAGAAATCCTGATTTCCTTCCAGAAAGCAGTCTGAGACTTATGGTCGGACGTGCTTTGGGAGCAGGCAGCCCAGGTCCTCTAGATGGAAGAGCTGATCCATGAGGCTCCAGCTCCCATTCCACAACTGGAAGAACGAGTCTCTCTGCTTGGCAGCTGTCACTGTTGCTGGACAGAAATCCCAAACTACATTGTTCCAGCACACTTCACCTGCAGCCACTGAGCTCACCTGGTGCTTGCCAGATGCCTGCCTGTGCAGAGAGATTACCTGCAGGCAGGGACAAGAAATCCTGGAAGAGGATATTTCCAACACTCTCCATTTCCCTGCCTACCAAGCACAGGCTGCACAGTCCCTCTTCGCCCCTTGGGCTCAGGCAAGCAGGGTTGATGATTGCAAAGTCTAGCAAGGGACCAATAATTTGGATGCTACTACAAAAGGCCAAAGCCTTGTTTAAAAAAAAAAAAGATTCTGCATCCACTGAACTTCTGCCTCACTGTTACATTGATGATTTCTTGCCAAGTAGTTTGAATTGAAGCTGCAACGCTTATTTTCCCTTGGCTCTTCCAGCTGGCGCCACTGCCACTTGCAGCAGTGAGGGGAGGCTGGGCTCGGAGCTGGTGCCACGCTGGCAGAGGCAGGCCGAGGACTCAGAGCGTAGGGATGTGTGTCCATCTCCCGAGGAACCACCACTGCAGGCACTGCCAGAACCTGACTCCACTGGTCTCTCAAAGCCATGGGATTCTCCTTCCCCCACCCTGTCACACAGCAGGCTTGACCTGGGGGCACCTGTCCCCTCCTACCTTCCAGACTTGGTGAGCACAATAATGGCCCCGCTGCAGCACTTGAAGGACGCTTCCACAGCGCCAACTGCAGCGGCCTCGGTGGGGTCGCAGTTGAGGGGGGTCAGACGACGCAGTTCCTCAAACAACTGCCTGTGAAAGATGGCGGCTTCGGCCTCCCGGGCAATCTACAAGAGCAACACGCGTTCGGAGACAACACTCACGGCAGGCGCTCGGGCACAGGGCAGGGCGAGGTGCTGAGCACAGAGTGCCACGTCCCTACTGCCAGCCTTCAGCACCGTCATCAACCAGCGAGCTCAGACTAAGCTCACCCCAACAGCGTGTCCCTGCACAGGAACCACTCGATTCCCAAGGGTTCTTTTTCCAATGGTGGCACCTCGCCCTGTCAAGCCCACACTCAGGTGACACTCATGCCAACTGCCAGGCACTCTCGCTCTGCTCCTGCCTGCTGGGATCCCTCCCTGGCACAGGGTCAGCTCACATGGCAGCGGTTACACAAGGTTGGCATGGGCAGTGAGCAGCTGGCCAAAGACTGCAGTGTTAGAGTGCAGCGTGTTTTGCCACGGAAAGGGCCGGCCCAAGGCCCCTCTCTGAGCCCTACCTGCCGGACTCAGTCAGGACTAGCAGGGCTGCAGCTAAACACTTAAAAGAGGCCTCCACCGCGCCCGCCGCCATGGCATCGGCAGGGTCCCTGTTGTTAACATTGAGGCGTAAAATTTCTTCGAACAGCTGACGATGGAACATTGCGGCCTCAGCCTCGCGCGCGATCTGCAGGCCCGAGTGGGAGGGAAGGAGGAGAACAGAGGAAAGAAAAGAAGGAAAGATATACCAGAGGAACATGAGATCACGTTAACTTGCTTAATTGTCATAGTAATGCATGCAAGAGGTATTAAGGTGAAGCAGTGAAGCTTTTTGTCTCTCAGGTTTTGACTTTGCTAAATGCGACCAGACTAAAATTCACCGTACTATGGAACGGGCAGGCCCCAGTCACTGGGCAAGCATTCCAAACATGGTATTTTTGTTGTATTTGGGAGTTCCAGCAGAGCAGGCAAACATAACTTGCTTTTCAAGGAGCAAGAACAAGCCAGCTCAGAGCCGCACCATGCTTTGTCATGGCTGCTTATGACTTCCCTGAGAGACTCTTGTGCCACCTACCTGCCTGCCCGTGGTCCTGCTTGCAATTCTCTAAGAAGGAATATCTGGCTTCCTTTCCTAGGCTCCCAGCACCACAGAGTGCTGCTGGAACAGTTTTCATGGAGCCAACATGCAAGCAACACATTTTAAATGTCACCCCTCAAGGTGGGAGACTGTTCTCTCAGTCTTGTTACATTTAGTTTAACTTCAGGGTCAATGAAGATTTGGCTTACTTTGAGAGCAAATAAAGATGCAGTTTGAGAGCCAATAAAGATTTATTTTAACTTGAGAGTCAATAAGCTTCACATCCAAATGGGATACCAACTTCCTTTTGGTAATAGGGAAATAAACAGGAACAAGTCTTCCTTATAGGGTTGTCACAGTGTGGATGCTGGAGTGTTTGTACAGTGCCAGATGTGGACAGATGAAAGGGACAGAGGCACAACTAAAGGCTTTGAGTTCTGGCTGAGCATTGGCAACAGGTTCAGCAACCTGTTCATACCAGAATCCTGGGAATCATCATGCTTAATCATCTCGGAAGGCCTGACAACCCGATAAAGAAGGCTTGCAGAGACTAGAAAAGCATGCAAAGGTTCATGATCTTCTCAAGGACAACTTCACCCAGTTATTCCACAAAGTGAACAGCGGCTACACAAAGCATGACAACTTCATGTTGAATTAGAGACTGATGTGCCATCACAGTGAAAGCTCTGCAGTTAGAAAAATCAGGATTTTGCTACTCCAGTGTTAATGAATTATTTTATGTGATGCTGGGAATTATCCCTTCCACAGTTATCAGTTTAAGCCAAAGTAGTTAAGTATCTTAGGTTTAAAAATAACAGGACACAGGCAGCAGGCCGGAAGAGCAGGCCAGTGCCAGCTTGTCCTAGAGCATATTGTTACTGCTGGATTTAGATAAAAGGGGAGTATTTGCATCACAACACTTACTCCAAATGCAGGAGCTGGAAGCCTGGCAGTTTATTTTCAGCTCCTGGTACAAAGGCAGCAGGTCCATGTAACACAGAGAGCAAATCTGATTTTAGAGGGAAGTCTGCACTCCCCATGTGTAATGGAAAGTAGGAATACAAGTGTCTGCTTTGACAGCAGCTGCAGAGGGGCACAGCAATCCTTAACTTCACCCCACAGCTGGATCTGCTCAGGCAGGAATAGCTATAGAGGGTTTCCAGTTGGTGCACAGGTGGAGATACCAGGGAGGTGGGAAAAAGGAAAATGGAGAGGCTGTTTAAACCTTGGTCCCATCAGGCAGCATAGCATGGCCAGGCTGGGCTTTGAAGAGTGGATGCTGGAGTGGAATGGGAAGGATGCCCCTCCCACCTACAGCAATCAGCCTGCCCAGTATTTGGAAGTTTGCTACTGCCCACTTCAGATGGTAACATCCACCTGCTCCAGCCATGCTGCAGATCCCCAGACCATGGTTACTCAGGACATTGTTGCTGGGCTTGACTAACAAGAATTGAATTAGCTCAGAGGAAAGATCCTCACTGTACTGGCATGTGCTCCTACCATAAGAGTTGGCACCTTGCTGCCTGGAACATCTCACACTTAGTAAATCTGTATTTTAATTTCTGCAGTGTTAAAGTGTTAAAGCCTTGAGTGCTTCTCCAGGAGCCCTGGTGGAAAGAACACCATGCCCAGGTCTGTAGGAAGAGGGAAGCACATGCAACAGATCCTCAAATCAGGCTACAGGTACAACACAACCTGCTCAGACCACAGGATTAATGCCAGAATGGAAACCCAGGTGCAAGGTTTGCTGCAGCAAGTTCCCAAGTCTTGATAGGCAGTTGATTCTTGTGATTTAGGGGTTGGAAAAGGAGGGAGAAGCTTTAAGGTGCACTGATAGCATTTGGCCTGTAAAGGAGCACCACTGCCCAGTGATAAGTTGTATTTTGCATTTGCCTCGTGCAAAAAACACCACTCCATATTGAGGTAAAAGATGTTTAGGTAACACACTGCAAACCAACACTGCCTGAGTTGAATAACCTATAGAAGCTGAATTACAAATAAAACTGGTGAGAGTTAGAACTTGTGATGTGATTCACATCGTGTTGTGATTCACAGCACTGGTAACTGGGGAGCAGCAACGCTCACAGGTACTTGACATAAGGCTTATATCAGCTGAAACACGAACTTGAAGCAGAGCAGAGGTTTCTGGCAGTTCAGGCATGTAAAAATATGGTGCTGTCAGTACTCATGCAACAAACCCCCCCAACCCCCAGCACACAGCAGGTGCTGAATGCAACAGTGCTGTAAATCACCCTCAGGGGCCTCCCCACCCCCTCCCATGCAGGACTCAGCAAAAACCTTTCATTATCTATAGATAATCTGCTTAAAGCAGCTCCTTGACCCTGCAGAAGTTTAAGGCATTTAATATGCCACTGCAATAGGACACTGGATGAAATTTCTATTGAGGTAGCAGCAAAAAGAAATTGGAAGTTTTATATCTCAGCATTTCAGAGCAGCTCTCAGCTCTGCTCGGCAAGTTTGGAGCACACAAAGTGAAATTTCCAGGCCCTCAGGACCATGTTTGTTCAAAAAAAACACCCACAACAGAGTGTGAGAAAAACAAAAAGGCCATTTTAGGCAGCCATTTAGGCCTTTGAGTGTCCAGCTCAGGCGGCCAAGAGCAAGGTGGTGTCCCTGTCCCCAGCAGGCAGGGCAGGGCAGTACTCACAGCGTGCTGCATGCGCACAGCCTCGAGGGGATAGTCTCCCTTGGCTGTTTCCCCAGACAGCATGATGCAGTCTGCTCCGTCCAGGACGGCGTTAGCGACGTCGCTGCCCTCAGCACGGGTCGGGCGAGGCTTCTTGATCATGCTTTCCAGCATCTAGGAGAGAACAAACCCACAGGGATCAACAGAGGAAGCAGCTGGACTGCAATACTCCTTACGGCTTGGGCAGAAAGTGGGATGCAACCTCAGGAATCCAGCTCTCCAGGGGTATGGAAAAGAAAGAGGGTCTGGTCCCTAAACCAGCTTTAATTTAAAGCCTCCATCAGTAAGGAAAATAACCCATTCCATTTGATACCCATTCCACATTTACTCCTTCTCCAGGGAGATTCAAGCCACACAACATCCCAGACAAAATACTCCAACCTTCCACTTCAACCTCCCAGCACAAAGCTTGGTCCAAGAAACTTGGAGCTCTTTAGAGCAGTGTGGCATTAGACGCATTTATGGAAAGCTCAAATCCAGTCATACATTCTCAAATTTGGGGATTTTATCATCCAGAAACCATGAAGAGCAGGGTCTGCACCAACGTAGTCACCCCCTCCCAACACAAGATTTCAAATGCTTTAGACAATATGTACAGGGTAGTAAATCCAGAACCAGCTTTCTAAGCATCCACGCTTAAAAGTGGAAAACGGGACAGCTTGCCATGAGGTGAGCATTTCCTAATCCCTTTCCACACCCCAATTCTGGCCAGCTGTCCTGTCTTCCTCAGGTCCTCAGCATCCCCCCAGCTGGAGCTCACCACTTGTTTAAACACTATTTGCTTCACCCATGGGACACTGCCTGAGGCTGTGTTTCAGCTGCATTTCTGTAGCAATACAGGAAAAAAGGAGCACATGCCACCGTAAATCCAGAACCTTCTTTAATGACTACTGTCCAAATAAGTCTTTACTTCCACAGCCTGTGTGCAGAGCAAGGATAGTCAGGAAACCAGTCCTCCCAGTGCTCAAGGACCGTGCATGTGATCCCTACCACCCCCAGAGAAAGGAGATGGATCCTTTACTCAGTTCCTACTGAAGCTGCAGCGTGGGCACATTTCTAAGATACTAAGATACATACTATACTAAGACACCTGGGAACCTTAGCAAACCTTCCCTGTCAGGCAGGGATGTTCTGCCACAAGATGCCAAGGAAAAGCATTTGTAATTTTTCCCTTGAATTTGCAAGGTCAGCCCCAAAGGCTCATTACCACGTGATGTTTTGAGGTGTACAACCCTTGGCAAGAGGTCCCGTAATCTAATTAGGAAAAATCCCAAACACAGAAATGCCTAAATATGAGCTTTTCAGCTATGAGCAAAACCTCTCTGCGTCTCACTCTTTAACCAATACAATCAACCCACGGCTGCTCCCAACATTCCCTCCCAGCCAGACTCTGGCAGTGAGGAACCAAAGGTGGTGCTTCCAGTACCTGAGTGGCACAGATGATGGGTTTGCCAGCCCTGTTGCAGCGCCCAATCATCATCTTCTGGGCGAGGAAGACTTTTTCAGCTGGGATCTCGATACCCAGGTCACCGCGGGCCACCATAATGCCATCACTGGCCTCCATGATCTCATCAAACCTGACAGCGAGAGAAGAGCTGTGTTATCCCATTTGCTCTGCAAAGCACCTTCCCATCTGTCTGTCCTCCTCTGAAAGGAGCACTCACGCTTTTCATGGGCTGTTTGGGTCCTTGCAATGCCAAGGAAGAAGGAAGAAAACCAGAAGCAAGGCACAGCACATATTCAGTGCTACACAAAGCTGCCTGAAGCTACAAAAAGGGAGTGTGAGTTGCTTTATTTCAGCGTGACAAACCCAAAGCATCCCCTGCACAAAGCTCACCTGCGCACACCCTCGTGGTTCTCAATTTTGCTGATGATCTTGATGTTCTTTCCCTTTTCCCCCAGCACCTTCCTGACAGCATGGACATCAGCAGCCTTGCGGATGAAGGAAGCAAACACCATATCTACGTTCTGCTCCACACCAAATTTTAGGTCCTGAATGTCCTTTTCAGAGACAGCAGGCAGGTCAACAGCAGCACCAGGCAGGTTCACGCCCTTCTTGCTGCCAAGCATGCCGCCGTTCTCAATCTCTGTCATGACATAGTCCTTCCCTGAAACACAGGTTCCCATGGTCAGTGTTCACAGGATAGCTGCTGCTACCAACTCCCACACCACCTCCCTGCCTGGGAACTGCAGTGTCAACAGTGGCACACGCGATAAAAAGCACATCCCATCTCTTCAGAGCATTTCTGTACCACACAAGCTTGCAGTTTACCCTTGGGAACACAATAGATTGGTCTAAAACAACTTCTAGGCTGTTCCTGGATAAGATAGCAGCTGTTTGCTGCAGCAAGTTGGGATCACCTCCCCCAAGAAAAGCTAGCAGGTTGCAGTTTTGCACACAGAGCCCTGCAACACCAAAGTCTCCCTTCCCACTCCCTACATGCTCACAGATTTAGAGGCTTGGGGCTACAGCAGTTTAGACAGCACTATAAAGGGAGTATTATGGAACCTTGTCTCCACATTACCAATTAAAACTAGTTCTGTCTCTTACCTACAAAACCCAGGGTCTGTGCTGTAAAACTAGTTAAATCCTTCATTAAGAGCATGAATTAGCCCGGCTGATCATGAACAGTGGTATGGCCCTACCACACATTCCCCTTTGAAGATGGGGTTTAGATGCCAGCCCAGTGAAACCCAGCTGAAGTTAGTTTTTGGAAAGTTCCTACACTTGAGATAGAGAAATTTAGCTCAAAGTCTCACTAAACCATCAAGAACTATGTTCTCCTTTCTACAACACACAATTGCAAATTAAGAAACAGTTACTGGAGGGAAACCACAAGTATGTCCTGAGGAACACACAAACAGGCAGAGCTAAAATGGCTGTTACCCACCTTTCTCCCTAACCACCAAAGAAATCAGACCATCATCCACGTAGATTTTGCTGCCAACTTCCACAACTTTGGTGAGATTCTTGTAGTCGAGCCAGAGTGTGTTCTCATCACAGTTCTCCATGAAGGAATCGTCCAGGGTCACTTTGAGCTGTGCGCCCTTCTTCAGCTCCACTTCTGCTGTGCCACTCTGTGTGACAACACAACCAGTAAAAACCAGTACACCACCACCACCTCGCAGCCCACAGCAGTTTGCCAGAATATTTGGGAGGTGGTTTGTAACCTCATTTCCTGTGATATTTTTTTGTTTGGAAATGGCCACAGGCATAACACAGTATCAAGTCTGTGTGGCGAAAAAAGTGTGATTAAAAAAAGCAACTTACTCCCTTAATGAGTCCAGTTCGGATTTCAGGTCCCTTGGTGTCCAGTGCAATAGCCACAGGTCTGTAGGTGATGGGATCAGAGGCAAAGCTCTCTGTGGCTTCTCGCACATTCTTGATTGTGCCCTCATGATACTGGCAAGAAAAGAAAAAATAAGGAAATGTTAAAGGTGGTTCTACTTGGCTGCTTACAGAAAAGATCCCAGTGCACCCCAGAGGCTGCCCAAGCTGACTGTTCTGCTCTCAGTTTCAGTTCTACCTTCAAAATTTAACCCAGACAAAGTTTCCAGTAAAGCATAGTGCAAGGATACAAGGGCCTTCCTGCCACGAAGGCAGAGTCTGGAAGTTATCTGGTCTGCCCTCAACTCTAATTCCAGAAGGACAAGTCAAGGAGACAGTGCCGAGGTCTGGCTGAAGTGATTTTTCATGAGGACACAGATCTGCCAGTCAAAGGTGGCTCACCAACCAAGAGGCCTTTAAGGAGTAAGTCTTCCAAAAGCTTACCTGAACACCTGCCTATTCAACACAGCAGAATATTCACAGCACCAGCAGCTGGATAACTGTGTGCATTCAAAGAGACCTGATGGCAGAAGAACATCACAGTGCCACACATGGCTGTGCTCCTCCTCCCATCAGAGCAAGGGAAGACACCTCTCCACACTGCTAGCTCCCACACACACTTCCAGCCTGACCCACTATCAGTCCTGCAGGTGGACAGCTTTTCACTCTCTGGCCTGAATTCCCACAGATAAAGGATTTGCTAAAAGAATGTTATCCATGTAAATATTTACAGTTTATTTCCGGAGTCAAAGCAATCACAGACAGCTCAATAGTCCAGCACCACACACCTGGCTTCCAAACCTTGTTTGTGAGAGCATTTAGCCAAATGCTGCCAGTTTTAAGATAGTTTTGTGACAAAACCCATCCCAGCTCCCTCAAATTTGCTACAGATGGCCAAGAGATCAGTTTACTTTACTTGTTCAAATAACATTAAGAGATAACCTCAACTACTTACAACTAGTAAGAGTTGTGTAACACTTGACAGACTTTAGTAGATAAGACATACCCTTTCCTCTCTGTGCCAGATGGACTGATGGAGTTTGACCTCACTCACCTGGAACACTCGGTTCCCTCATGTCACTCACTCACCCCAACACGAGCCCTCCACACTGACTTCAGTATCTCGGGGATGATAAGCCAGCACCAGGAAGGCTGGGCTGGGAAAAGCCATGCTGAAGTTCACATGTGTGCCCTTAGCCAGAAATACCTAACAGCTGATAACTCTTTATAGCAGGAAAATGAGTCAGTTTATTGACTGTGTGCAAGCTGGGATGGAGATGGCCTTGACCCTTCCAGGCACTGCAGCTGGGGTGGATGCAGCACAGAACACATGCCCTGACAGTGCCACAACACTTATCTGAACCCAATCATCTGAGATTTCCATTTTAGTCTGATACCAAGGACTAACTGGCTCCTAGGGAGGCTGACTTTCTGAAAAGTTACACATGCAGAACGGGAACGAAGGCAGAACTGGAGGTAAAAGCCATTTTTAGTCCATGTTAAGGGGAGCCAGGCAGGTGCCAAAGCACCTCTTCTAAAGCTCAAGCCCTGGTAAATGCTTTGGGGTGGACAGGAGCACTGAAGCACTTGTGACAGATGGAAACTCTTTGGGCCTTCACTGGAAACTAGGGCATTTTGGAGGAGCCAGGATGGGACACAAGCTCAGGACTGGCTATGGCTGATGGTCACACTCTGCAGGCAACAGCCACAGCAGAGCCTGCAGTCAGCTTCGTTGGTGTAAAATGTGTAATTAGACCTCACACAAAGCAGGAAGACCCCAGCCAAGCTCACAGACCACAGCAACCAGGCAATAACGGTCAGAATTCCCAGTTTCTGCCTGGCCACCAACTCCCTGATGTGTCACCTGGCCCAAGAGCCACCCAGCTGCAAGGATTTGACTCCTGGGATGCAGTTACTCCACACTATTCTTTCTCCAGGCTGATTTCCCAACTGGGAGGCATGTACTGACACTACCCCAGGGTGGTTAGTCAAGGTCTGATGGTTGCCCACAGTTAAGTATTAGCCCTTTTGATCCTGACACTGCCCTGTGCTCATTAAAGGCTACCAGGGTGAGAGGCCAAGCTGTTACATACCACGAGGCTCATGGGTCACTAAGTAAAGCCACCTACAGCTGCTACTGGGTGACATTTTGAAAGTTGGAAAGCAGCCAGGGTCAAAAAGTACCCCAAAAAACCTCAGCAGAATGGGATCCTCAGCTCCTCCAGTATCACTGAGAGTGTCAGCTATTTATAGCAATAAGGGCTTGACTGTCATGGAGTGTTGATTTCTTCTGACCTTATTTTTCTGAGCTCACTACACCATGACCCAAGCTCCACAGAGGGACCTTCCAGAGTGCCAGGAATGCATCTGGAGCAGCTGGTTAGCCAGAAAACCCAGGAGCCCATTCTTCCCACTGAGCACAGTAATTACATCAAATCACCAATAACAGATGCCTTTTGATCAGGGTTATTCACGGATCACCTGCTTGCAAAATCTCCAGCAATGCAACAAAAAGTGAGATTAACTGATAGTGTGACCTCCTGCAGAGGTGCAAAAGAGGGACAGGTCTTCTCAGCTTCTGCTGCTCACTGGGAAGCAGCAGCTTTGGGAACAGCAGGATATGAGGAAGAACTGAAGCATTTCATGGCAAGCAGGTTGGCACACGGTGTCAAATACCAGTTACCTGGCTCTCCACTACAGGGTGGGGTGTGGAATTGAATTGCTTTCAAAAAGGCTCAGAAAATACACTTCAATGTTATCAACAGTGACGCAGGCTCGGTATGTACAACCAGCATGCTTTCCCCAAAAGCAGATATTTGACCTTCCCACACCAAGGATGGTCTGGATTTCCCTCCTCGCTGAGGGACAGGATCAGCAGGCACACAGGGGCCGTAGCAGCTTGGACCGCACCCTTACCTCATGGGTGCCGTGAGAGAAGTTGAGGCGGGCAACGTTCATTCCAGATTTAATCATTTCCTTCAGCTTCTCTACAGAGCGGGAGGCCGGGCCTAGGAGGAAGAAACAGTTTGAACATTAACTTTAGAAAAATAATGAGGTAACCCACACAGACCAGGCTGTTTCATGTGGAAGAGAAAAGGTAAATGGATACAGCATTGCTCAGCGCTGCAGCAGCAAATATTGTTTTAACTTGCCCACGGAGTGCAGCAGAACCCAAGCGATTCCCATTTCCCTGGATACTGGATTCACTCCCAGCAGTAACACAGGTTAGACAAACATGGGAAAGTCATGTTCCTTCACCACACAAGTTCAGCCCTGGCAAGGGATGAAAGTCAGATCCTTCTCACAATTTCCCTAATAAGTTTCACCAAGGTGTGGGCTCCTAGCTGCAATTCTCTCCTATCTAGGAATAGCCTACCAATGGTGCAGATGATGCCGGTGTTTCTGGCAATGGTTGGCTCTGAGTCGATGTCCAGGCGGCACATGTGCTCCAGGAAGGTGTCTGCCATGGCAGCATGCAGCTGCTGGGTCTGGATGAAAGCGGTCCCTGCATCATGGTGCTTCGACATGATTGCTCGATTCCTGTGTCTGGAAGAGAAGAAAGCGGTGCCAGGTTTGGGAATCACCCACCCCAAACTGCCCATCGAGCAGAGACACCAAGACAACAATGTGATGAATATGGAGATAACAAGAAAGCTGCTACTGGGTCAAACTATCTTTATGTTCCTATTTGAGAATCCTAAAAGGCAAGGCACATTTCTATTTCCATGTCATCCCCCACATGGACCACCCAAAGCTCACCTGCCTTCTATGCAGATGTTCCCTTCATAGCTTCTCTTCATTGCCAGTCTTCCCTTGGAGCTACACAACGCAACAAAATTCAAGCACTTGAGTGCGCAGGCAGAGGTTCTGCCTCCTCCCTCCCAGCTCTCCACTCATTTCTCCTACAGGCCTCAACTGCACATCCCATCCCACATGGGACCGGGGCAGCTCGGCGCTGGCGTGACTGCAGCACACCCGGACACGGGCAACCCTCTGCCCAGGAGCACCTAATCACAGCAAAGTCCGCATAAGCCTAAACCCCATCCTTTAAGCCTGGACAAGCAAGCAGACTTGAGTTGATTAAACACAACACTTTGGCAGAGAACACATAAAAGACTGAAGATTTACGACACTCAAAGTCTCTCTTTGACTGAAGACACTTGCAGGTCTCCCCCACCTCCTGCACTCCCCTCCACCTACAGCACCAAAATTCATCATAAGGTTTAAAACTGCTTGTATTTTTCAACATTTGGATTAAAAAACCTCTCTGAACTCAGGCTGTTTGCTTCCTCTGGGCTAGAGTTTCCACAACAGCAGGACCAGCCTATTCTTTGGGAACCAACCTATCCTTTCAAGAGGAAGCTGAGCTGAAGCTCAACAGTCCATTGGGATGGGAGGACATTCATTTCACAGCAGTGCTGGTGCCCCAGGCGTTTTAATTGCAATAATTTTGTTCTCAAATAGTAGCGGCAGCTCAAAGCTTTGTCTCTTAGACCTGCCAGGCTAAAATCTCAGCATTACAAAAGCCTCTAGTAAAAGAGTGATGTAAGGTGGTGGCTATTGGCATGGGCAGATCACTCATTTTGCCTTTAAAGTTTGGTTTAGCTTCAAACTCTGTGTCCTGGGCACACAGGTGAGACTCAGAGCAGGCATGAGCAGCCTTCACCTCCAAGATGTGCTTATAGAAACATGGGCTGCAGCCCAGCGAAAAGCTGTGACAGAGCAGGAATAGAGCTGGGCTTTTGTTCTGCCTGCCCCAGGCAGACAAAGCCCACCAATAAACCACAGAACGGTGTGAGGGGCACACACCAGCTGGCTCAGCATATCCAGCTTTGACACAGAGGCACCAATAAACCCAAAAACTCTGGCATAGCTGGCAGGACTGAGCACAGTGAAGGGCAGACCAAGCCCTGCCAGTCTGCTGCCTGGCCCAGACGCTCCTCCCCTGCTCCGCAGCCCTTCCTTCCTCACGTACGTGCAGATCCTCTCGCAGGCAGCCCTGACTCACCCTCACCACGCTGCCATGCGCCACAGAGCAGCCAGGCCAGCAAAAACCATAATTTGACCTGGCAAAGCTTTTTTTCCCTCAGCCCTGCCAGAAGCTGCTGATTCACTAGAGTCACTACAAGAAGGTCTGCCCACATAAAAAGCCCAACAAAGTCTCATTATTATAGGAAAACCCTCTGGTCAGTCCTAAAACATTGTGTTTCAGCCCTCTAACACTTGCTGTTGCACCCTCCGACACCTGCAGAGCAGTGTCACTTTTCCTAGATGCCAAAAAAAACAAGCCTTTGCTGGGAAATCACCTCCACGCACAGGCAATCGGGTTTGCACAGCTTCTAGGAACAAGAGGAATACTGAACAAGGTATCGCAACACGGAAACTGCAGCCAGAGCACAACTTGGAAGTTTATAAAAAATAGTCAAATGAATTCTCCCTGCCTCATGGAAATCCCCCACCCACTCAAGTCATGTGCAAATATAATTTTAACACCCTTGCAGTCTTTATAAAGAGAAAGGAAAAGTTCACTTCCCAGCCAGTATCCCCTTCACAGGATTTTCCAGCAGTTCAGAGGGCTCAGAAAAATTAACAGCACAGAGTGACCTTGTCCAGGGGCGAGAGCAGAGACGCAGGAGCCAGAAAGTATCCCAAACACCCATTTGTCCACAGCACCATGCCCACGACCACCAAGAGTCTTTTCAATACTCCCTCCTGCCTTCCACCACCATGCACTGAGACAAGGCATCAACTGAATTTTACTGGAATGACCAGTCTCATATTTATAACAGGAATGTCTGGCATTTCCCACTACTCCGCTTTTTTTAACATCAAACAGAGGAGCAAGGACTTCAAGGACACCAGAAAACACGGAGCACTCAGTCTGGGCAGATTGAGGGGGGGCGGTGAGCAATACCCTACAATGCCTGAATGTTTCCAGCACTGAACAAACCTGAATTCATTCCTCAAGGAGTAATGATTAAATCCCCAAATTTATTACTTAGCCTGCTCATGCTTTAGGCAGGGTGCCCCTATGCTGTCTGGTATCTCCCCAGCTCCTGAATATTCCAGACTGAGCCATCTCAGGTCGGGACTGGTTTTTACTGTAGCCAGGTGACTAATTCCAGCCAGCTCATCCCATGGCTCAGATGAGAGAAAGCCTAAAATCATGGTCTGTCCGGATATGCCCCTTGGGGATGGAGAAAGGAGAGGGAGCAGCAATCCCCACCCAGGGCCAAGTCTTTGCTGTTACTGGTGACAAAAGGAAGTAGAAACTGCAGCAGGGGCTGTCCCCAGGCCACAGCCAGAGCTGTGTCACTGCCTGCAGGAACTCCAGCCAGGAGGCTCCCAGGGGATGATGACTCGGGGTTTACTGGTCAGCCTCACTTACACAACCTCACGGATGCTGCAGAACAAGGCTGCTCGTGCCCAGTGACCCTGCCCAGAGGCAGAAATGGTTTGAGTTAGTGCTCAGGGAAGGGTTATGAAACCAGGCAGGCTTTCAGATTCCCAAAGAAGCCTAGAAAAACATCAGCTTTGCTCATTCCAGAAGCTAAAGGCACTCAACAACAGAAATGCAGCTCTGAAGAGAGGCAGGTTTTTACCCTGGCCTGGCATCCCCTCTCCTAGGGAGGACAGCACACTCCTGCCAGACAGCTGGAGGTGGTGTCTCGCTGTTACGTAAGGACAAAATGGCCACCCCAAAATTCCATCCCTTTTCTGCAAGCCCGGATGGAACCCAGGAGCCACCACCTGCTCCTGACTGGCCGACGCTCTCCCCAGCATCGAGCTGCAGATCCACGGGAGGAGAGACCCAAAACGGAGAGGCCTCTCCAGCTTTTTGGCAATGGGGAACAGGAAGATCAGGCTGGTTCTGGCACCTTCCCCGTGTGCTGCTGGCTCAGCCGTGCCTTTGCTGAGCTGCCCTCCCTAGAAGGCTTAACTAAAAAAATAAGAGGAGGTGGCAATCATCGGATGTTTGGTGACGAGAAAGACTTATCTCGAGGGTATTTGTAGGACACACCTACAGACTTAACCTTGCAGAGGACAAGGAGCCTTTCAGCTTGGCAAAAAGCACCTGGCTGCCTTCAGGCAAGCTGTAAAAACTTGCTTTACAGGCTAAAAGCAAGTTTGGGGGGTTTTCTTTTCACATTTAACTAGGGAGAAGTGTAGACCACTGCGCTGCATCCCCACTCCAGGATGGAGATTGCTGCACGTGGCAGCGCCCCGGTACTGCAGCCCCATTCCCTACGTGCCATCCATCACCACCCGCTGCGGCTCCATCTTCCTCCAGGAGAACAACAGCCAGGCGGGAGATAAAGGACAAGCACGTGCTCCAGCCGGCCTGGGAAACGTCTTACTCCCATCAAATTAAATTAGCAACTTGTTGGGTGGAAAGGGAATTAAGGCCGGCGGTGCATCACTACGGCTAATAGCAATAAATGAAGGTTTTAATAACAGCTTCAGACAGATAAAACAGTAGGTAATTAAAAAAAAAAAAAACGCAGGCTGCTGCAGACTCCAAGCTCTTTATCTAGTGCAAGTGAAGTTTCTCAGAAGGGTTTCACAGGCAGAAGTCCCCGGTTCAAGCACGTGGCTCGCAGCAGTGCTTCCTGCCTCACACAAAAACCTCCTACTTAATCCGGTGATGGGCTGAAAACCTGCTGGCACCAGTACGGATCATTAACCCATGGAACTCTTTAATATGATCCAGAATTCTGCTCTATAAACGGGATCTTGGGCATAAAATTACACTCTTTAGAGGGTTTTTTTTGTTTTTTGCTTTTTGGTTTTTTTTTTTTTTTTTTTTTTTTTTTTTTTTAATTAAGCACGTCTAATTGCACAAGTTCCTGGACATGTCTGAGTAACCAAAAATTTGTCACTGCACCTTTGAGCCAAGGCAAGTCACGACGAGCAGCAGGACAATTAACAGTTTAACATGACAAAAACTTTTATAAAACACTGATTTTTTTTTTTTTTAACCTGGGCCTCTCTGATACAGAGTTGCCTTATCAGAACAAAGCAGGTTTTTAGAGTAGTCTCAGGAGACAGTCGGGAGATTGCCATTGTCCGCCGACAAAAGCGCTATTCATGCCTTGGTAGCTCTGCAAAGGGGGTTTAAACACGTTTGAAAGGTTCACACAGTTCAAGAAACTGTCCAAATCAATTGGACGTGTTTAAGCAGGCACAATTACTGGAGAAGATAAATTCTGAAGGGGCCTTCTCTTCCCGGGGCGGGGGGGCGGGAAGAGGCTGCAGCATCAGTGGTGGGTGCAGTGAGCCGGACGCTGATTTAAGCTGATGCCCTTCGGGGAACTGCCGGCTTTTACGTGAGTGCGGGCACGGGGAGGGGGGGTAGGCGGCCTAGCGCCTCACTCCGTCTGCCTCTGACTCAGCCTGCCCGCGGCTCCTCCGGCACTGCCCGGACCGGGCGGCAGCCGCAGCGGCGCCGCGCGCTCCGTTTAACGGCACGGCCGCCGGGCACACGCGGGGCTCCCCGCTCGTACGTGCCCCACTTCATTCACCCGCACCCTCGTACCCCAGACCGGACCCCCGCCGCGCCTCCCCGTGCGCGGAGCGGCTGTTTCTCGGTGCGGGCCGTGGCGAGATGCTTGGAACGGGCGTTCCCCAGCGCGGGATCGGAAGGGATGCTCGGAGCGGGCGCTCCCCAGCGCCGGGTCACGAGGGGATGCTCGGAAAGGGCGTTCCCCGGTGCGGGATGGCGAGGGGATGCTCGAAGAGGCAGAGGAGGGGACGCGGGGCCGGGGCTGCCGGCAGCCACGTGCTCGGCGCCGCGAGCCCCCCGCGCGCCCCCTCCTCAACCGGCCTGCAGGGCGCGCGCGCCCCCTCCCCTCAGCCGCTGCCCGGGGGGACCCTCTCCCGGCGGCGGAAACATGGGGATAACGGCGGCACCGGCGTGGCCGGCCCCACCGCTCGCAGCCCCTCAGGGCGCCGTTACCTGCCGCCGTTCAGTCACGCTGCTGCTGCGTCCTCTCACTCCGAGCGCCGCCGCCGCTCTGCACACCGCCCCCACGCCCCGCCAAGGTGATCCCGGCTGGTCGCAGCACCGCCCCCCTCGGATCCCTCCGCCACCCGCCCTGCCGGGGGCCGCAAGGGCGGGGCGCCGGGGCTACTTTCAGGAGCGGACGCACAAAGCACGAGGGGGAGGCGCTGAGTCACAGCACGCGCTCGGCCGGCCAATGAGGAGGCGGCACAGCCGCCGCGCTCGCGGACGGAGAGTGCTCGTCGCCTTAAAGGGACCGCGAGCCGGCGCGATGCTCTTAAAGGGGCCGCGGCCCCCGATTCACATCGAGCCCTCCGATTCACACCGAGCTCCCCCAGCTCACACCGAGACCCCCAGCTCACACCTCAGGGGTCCCTCACGCTGCGGGGGCAGTGGCTCTGGGTGTTTTGGGGTGCTTTGGAGGGTCCTGAGACCTTCCAGTGGGGACACTGGGGACCAGTGTGGAATCTCTGTAGTGGGGCTGCGAGGACACAGTGCTGGGGACACGAGGCTGGAGATGTTGGTGACGTGGTGCTGATGCCCTAAGGAGCTGGAGCAGAGGCTGGATGGAGTTAGGAGAAATCAAGTGCATATTTATTGAAGTGCCCTCAAAGGGCACACCCTGGCAGTGCCCGAGCCACAGTCGTGGCTCTGCCCGCACGGCTCCAAGATGGAAGCAAAAGAGGGCTTGGTCACGAGAGCTCACATTTTTATAAGTTTTAGTCCTTTTGCATACAGGAGTTATCTGTCCAATTAATAGCTTCAAATTATGAAGTTTCATCCTCCTTGCTTGCTTGCCCACCCTCCTCTTGTCACGTTGTTTAAGCTTTGGGCCTGAAGTTTGAAGAGATTGTCCTTGAGTCTCCAGATAGAACAGGATTGTTTTGTCTTCACCACCCTGTGAAAAGATCCCAGGAACACTTAATAGAAAGCTAAAAGCTGCACACCAACACAGAACAGAAAAGCTTACAGCCTATGGAATCAGTGCTGGGCATGCTGGGGACACTGTGCTGGGGCCACTGTCCCAGCTGTATGGGACCCAACACAGACACCGCATGCCAGATCCACGAAGGCCTTTGGCTGGTAATACTGGGGATTCCATGCTGGAGGTAATGGGGACATGATCCCTGAACCAGGGGGACCTTTTGCCTGTGACCCATGACAGTGGCTCCACACTGGCACCGTGGTGACACTGGGGACACGCCGTTAACACAGGGACCTGCCACACAGACCCCGTGCTGGACTGCAGGGACACTGTGCCGGCCATCCGGGGACCCAGAATGGTCACAGAGGGGTCCTGCACCGGGTGCATGGGGGACCCTGTGGTCCATGGAGGGGACCCAAAATGGTCCCCCTGTGCTGGGGGGCTGGGAGCCCTGTACTGGGGACACTGTGGACTCTGCACTGGGGACATTGTTACTGCGCTAGGAACACTGCGGACCCTGTACTGCGGACGCAGGGGACACTGGGCTGGGCTGCGGGAAGGCCGTGCCACACAGGAGGGGACCCAAAATGGTCCCCTTGTGCTGGGGACACGGGACCGCCTTGGACCATGGGGTCACCGTGAGGGAGACCCAGCACGGCCACCGCATGGGGCACCTCGTGCTGGGGCTGGGACCCGGCACTGGGGACCCCGGGGTCCCCGCCAGCCCCGCGTCCCCTCACGGCGCTGCCGCCCCGAGGGCTCGGGGGTGGGGGGGGTCCCGGCGGTGACGTCATGGCGGCGCCGCTGGGTGACGCGGTGCGGCGGCTCTGACGTCAGGCCCGGCCCCCCGGCAGCATGGCGGCCGTGCCCGCGCCGGCCGGTCCGCGCTGACATGGTGAGGGCCGGGAGGCGGCCGGGGCCGCGGGGACACGGCCGGGGCCGCGGGGGCCCGGGGCGGGGCAGGGGCAGCGGCCCTCGGTGTCCCCGCGTGTCCCGGGGTCCCCCGGCTCGGGGCGGGGATGGGGCTGGAGCAGGAGGAGGGAGCCCCGCGTCGCGATCGGCCGGGCATCCCCGGCAGCTCCATGCGCAATCCTGGTCCTCCATCCTGGTCCTCCATCCTCCATCCTGGTCCTCCATCCCGCTGTTCCCATCCCGGTCCTCTATCCTGCTCTTCCTGCTTCCCAGTCCTGCTGTCCTGTCCTGTTGTCCCACACTGGTCCTCCATCCCTCTGTTCCCATCTTGCTCCCCCATCCTGTTCCCATCCTGTTCCCCCATTCCAGTGTCCCCATCCTGCTGGTCCATCCTGCTGTCTCCATCTTGCTCCCCTCTTATCTGCTCCCCCCATCCTCCCTCTCCCAATCTGCTCCTCCATCCCACTGCCCCCCAAATTATTCCTCCCATCCTACTCCCCCCATCCCACATCCCTATCTTGCTGCCCCCAAACACTCCCCCCAACCCCTGTGGTTCTCCCTATCCTACTGCTGCCCTCAAACTGCTTCCCTAAATTGTTCCCTCAATCCACTGCCCCCAGCCCTCTCCCCAGAACCAGCTCCCCCAGCTTGCTCCCCCCTAATTCCCTCCCTGTTAATGTGCTCCCCCAATCCACTTCCCAACCCTCTCCCCCATCCCTGCTGCCTCCCACCCCTCCGTCCCCAGGACCTCAAGGGCCAGTACTGGACGGACGATGACTCCGACGGGGACAATGAGTCCGAGGAGTTCCTCTATGGCGTGCAGGTGGGTGCTGGGTCCCGCTGGTGCCGCGGGAGGCTCAGGAACCCCAGCCCGAGCCCGCTGCGGGGCCGGGGGTGCCGGAGGCTGGGGAGCCCCGGCTGTGACGGTGCTGTGCCGCAGGGGACCTGCGCCGCCGACCTGTACCGGCACCCGCAGCTGGACGCCGACATCGAGGCGGTGAAGGAGATCTACAGCGAGAATGCCGTGGCCGTCAGGTGGGTGCACCTGCTGCCCCTGCGCCGGGCACTGCCAGGCCCTCGTGTGTAGCTGGGCCGTGCCAGGATAGCTGTGCTATCCCCAGGGATCCAGCTCTGCTGTCCCTGGTACCCAGCTGTGCCAGGCCCAGCCATCCTGCCGTGCCATCTCTGGGACACCTGGCTGTGGTGTTACCAGAACATCTGGCCGCAGCATCCCCAGGCATCTGGTTGTGCCATCTCTGGGGTACCTGAGCACGGCATGCCCAGAGCACCCAGAGCCATCCCTCAGACATACCCTCCCCAGGACTCTGGCCACAGTATGCCCTGAGCACTTGGCTGTGCTATCCTTGGGCACCCACACATGGCATTCGTGGAGCATCCAGCTGTGGCAGCCCTAGGCACTCGTGTGCCATCTTCAGACACCCAGCTGTGCCATCCCTGGGCACCCAGCTCGGCTGCATCCAGGGCACTCAGCTGTGGCATCACTGGGTCACCTGGCCATGGCATTACCAGACACCCAGCAGTACCATCCGTGGGTTACCTGGCTGTGCCGTCCTCAGGCATCCAGCAGTGCCACCCCCAGCACACCTGGACATGCCATTCCCAGGCACTTGACTGTGCCATCTTGGAGCACCCAGTAGTGGCACCCCTGCATAACCAGCTGTGTCATCCTCGGGCCCCCTTATTATGGCATTACCAAGGCACCTGGCTATGGCATGTCCGGGCATCCAGCTGTGCCATTCCCAAGGCAGGCAACCATGGCACCCCTAGCACACCTGGCCATGCCATCCCCTGAGCACTGTGCTGTCACATTCCCAGGTTCACATCCACATTCTGGGCACTCCCCCCGTGCATACATTTGATATGTGGGGACATGCCAGTGTCCCTGTCCCATGAGCCTGCCCACCCTGGCACCGTGGGCACCGGGACACTGTTCCAGCACCGTGCCATCCCCCCATGCCACAGCAGCGTGTGTCTTCACAGGGAGTATGGGACCATCGATGACGTGGACATCGACCTCCATGTGAACATCAGCTTCCTCGATGTGAGTCCCTGGGATGCCCCCAGCAGTGCTGGCATGGTGGGCACATGCACCGGGGGGGTCTCCAGACGCCCCTGCCTGGGTGGAGCTCCCGTGGCTGTGGCAAAGTGTGTCTCTGCCTTGGCAGGAGGAGGTGGCGACGGCGTGGAAGGTGCTGCGGACGGAGCCCATCGTCCTCCGCCTGCGCTTCTCCCTCTCCCAGTACCTCGATGGCCCCGGTGAGTGGGGACGGGCGGGACGTGGTGTCCCTGTGCCCTCGGGACAGGCGCAGTGGAGCACCCATGGCTCATCCTCCTCTCTCCCCACAGAACCGTCCATCGAGGTTTTCCAGCCGTCCAACAAGGAGGGCTTCGGGCTGGGTCTGCAGCTGAAGAAGTAAGAGCTGAAACATGGTGGGCACCCAAGGGTAGTGGGTGGGGTGGCTCTCAGAGTCACTGTCCTGCCCCAAAACTGGCCACGTGCCACATGTCCCCTTGCCACCACCTTTTATCCACCACACAATCCTGTGACGGGCTCACCACCATCTGTGTGTGGGGAAGAGGAGGGGCTGGGGGTGTCATGGACCACCGAGCACCCATGGGCACTGTCCCCTCTGTTTGCCAGGATCCTGGGCATGTTCACATCCCAGCAATGGAAACATCTCAGCAACGATTTCCTGAAGACCCAGCAGGAGAAGCGGCACAGTTGGTTCAAGACAAGCGGCACCATCAAGAAGTTCCGTGCTGGGCTCAGCATCTTCTCACCCATCCCCAAGTAAGGTTCTGATGCTGTCCCCAGAGGGGACCAGCCCTCTGTCCCCTCATCCTGGTGAGTCCTGGCACTGTGCCTCAGTTTCCCCACTTGGATGCTGCTGCTCCCTACCAGATCCCAAGCAGGAGGTGGTTGCTCCCAACAAGTAGCCGATGGGTGGATCTGGCACTGGGTGATGGAGGAGCAGGGAACGGTGACAAAACAGGTGTTCAGGGTAATTCTGTGCCTGCAGGTCTCCCAGCTTTCCTGTTATCCAAGATTCAGTGCTTAAGGGCAAACTGGGCATCCCCGAGCCTCGTGTGAACCGCCTGATGAACCGCTCCGTGTCCTGCATGGTGAAGAATCCCAAGGTGGAGGTTTTTGGCTACCCACCCGCCAGCACCCAGGCAGGTGTTGCCCCCTTCAACATCCTGGTGGGTGCCACCCCGCCTTGGGGTTTGCTTTTCTCTTCTTTCCCCTTCCCAAGGGCTCCTCTGGGGTCAGATCATTTATTGTGGGGCACTGGGACCCCCATGGAATGGGGGAGCTCCTGCAGGGTTTCGTGTCCCCAGTCTTGGGTGATCCTGGGGAGCTGCAGCCTGGCTGTGGGGTCCTCTGGGATTTTACCCCACTCCTGGTGTTGCATCCCTGCTGTGCCAGGAATGTTGGCATGTTGGGGATCGTGCTGTGCCAGGGAATGTTGGCATGTTGGGGGTCCCGCTGTGCCAGGGGGTGTTCAGATGTCAGGGGTCCAACTGTGCCAGGAGGGGTTTGGCATGTTGGGGGTCCCACTGTGTTAGGGGTGTTGGGATGTTGGGGGTCCTGCTGTGTTGGGAGAGGGTTGGCATGTTGGGGGTCTCACTGTGCTGGGGCACACTAGAATGTCAGGGGTCCTGCTGTGCCAGGGTTTTGGTATGCTGGGGGTCCTGCTGTGCCAGGGTTTTGGTATGCTGGGGGTCCTGCTGTGCCAGGGGGAGCTGGGGCTGCCCGTGCCATGCAGAGCCGGGGCTGTGTGTGGGAAGGGGGATAACGCAGCTGGCTCCGCTCTGGCTCCGTCACAGGTCGGCGGCCACTGCAAGAACATCCCCACGCTGGAGTACGGCTTCCTCGTGCAGGTGAGAGTCCTGCATCCTGCTCATCCTCAGTTTGCTGCCCCTGAGCATCCTTCCCCACTGTCCCACTTCCCACTTATCCACGTCCTGCTGTTCTCCCCACTAATCCATGTCATGCTCATCCGTATCCTGATGCCCAGTGTGTCCTTCTCGCTGTTCCACATCACACTCAGCCCTGTCCCGTTGCCCAGAACATCTTCCCCAGTGCCCCACATCCTACTTATCCACACTCCACTGCCCATATCATCCTCCCCACTGATCAGAGTCCCACTCATCCCCATCCCACTGCCTGGAGCATCCCCCTAGCTCCATGCCTGCAGCAGGGCCTGACTCCTTCCATCCTGCCCCTCAGATCATGAAGTACGCGGAGCAGCGGATCCCGACGCTCAACGAGTACTGCGTGGTGTGTGACGAGCAGCACGTCTTCCAGAACGGCTCCATGCTGAAGGTGGGGTGGCAGGGCTGGCTCAGGTGCGGGCTGTTCCCCTGTGTCACCATCCCTGACACTCAGCACTCTCCTGTCTCCTCCACAGCCGGCCGTGTGCACCCGGGAGCTCTGCGTCTTCTCCTTCTACACCCTGGGCGTCATGTCTGGCGCAGCTGAGGAGGTGGCCACGGGCGCCGAGGTAGGGCTGGGCACGGTGGTGACCCCCCCCAGCCCCTTGAGGGGCTGTCCCTTCAGTCCCTGCTCTGCCCCAAGGTGGTGGACCTGCTGGTGGCCATGTGCCGTGCTGCCCTCGAGTCCCCTCGCAAGAGCATCATCTTCGAGCCTTACCCCTCCGTGGTGGACCCCAACGACCCCAAAACTCTGGCCTTCAACCCCAAGGTAAGCGCTGCGGGAGACAATGCTCCCCCACACCAGGGGGTGCCCCAAAGACCCCTCTGATGGCCACTCCTCTCCTGCCCCATGTGCAGAAGAAGAACTACGAGCGGCTGCAGAAAGCCCTGGACAGTGTGATGTCCATCCGGGAGATGACCCAGGTACGTGGCGTGGCCCCACAGCCCCATGTGACATCCCTGGTGTGGGATCCAAGCTGGCAGTGGCATTTTGGTGCTGATCTCCATCTACCCATGGCTGGGTGCTGGGGGACCCACCTGCACCCTGTCTTGCCTCTGCCAGGGGTCCTACCTGGAAATCAAGAAGCAGATGGACAAGCTGGACCCCCTGGCACATCCCCTCCTGCAGTGGTAAGGCTGAGGGTGCTGTGGCACTCTCCTGCTGCCCCTTGTCCCTCCCACTGCCCCACATTCCCCAGGACATGGGATGGAGTGGGGGCAGCCAGGTATCTCTGGCACAACCCTCTCATCTCCTTTCTCCTGGGGGGTCACGGGCATCTAATGATCTTGGGGCAGATTGGGACCACCTTTTCTGACCCTCCTCCTTTTCCTCTTCCTCTTCCCAAGGATAATCTCCAGCAACAGATCCCACATTGTCAAGCTGCCTCTCAGCAGGGTAAGGGGCCAGGCTAGGCTCCAGGTGGGGTGTGGGATAAAGGTATGGAATATGGGAGGTGGGATGGAGAGACACAGGAGATGGGATGCAGGATGAGGCATGTAAGGATATGGGATGGGCAATGGAAGGGTCTGGGATGTAGGATGAATCCCTCTGGTTGGGGTTCTAGCCTGGGACATATGGGAGTCAGGACACGGGATATAGGAAGGGGGATGTTTGACACAGGCTGTGGGGTGGGGGCAAAACAGGGATGTGAAGGACCCTTCTGGCAGACTTGGAGTCGCCAAAGCCAGGCTGGGCTGGATCCAGGGCCGGCCGGCCGTGCATGATCTCTGTCTGTCTGTCTGTCTGTCCGTCCGTCCTCTCTCCTGCCGGCACTGCCGTTGCTCTTCCCGTTCCCCTGGTAGCAGCTGAAGTTCATGCACACCTCCCACCAGTTCCTCCTGCTCAGCAGCCCCCCGGCCAAGGAAGCCCGGTTCCGCACAGCCAAGAAACTCTACGGCAGCACCTTCGCTTTCCAGTGAGTTGCCGAGGGGGGATGGTGGGAGCCCCCCAGGTGGGTGCCCTGGGGCTGATGGATGAGGGGCTGATGTGGGGCTGGCTCTTTCCAGTGGCTCTCACATTGAGAACTGGCATTCCATCCTCCGCAACGGGCTGGTCAACGCCTCCTACACCAAACTGCAGGTACCAGTCTGCTCCCTGCACCCAGCACACCCCAGGGCCACAGGCGGGCAGGGAGGGCAGGAAGGCAGGGAGGGAGCAGACATTGGGAAGTCCCAGGCTTCCTCCACTACCACTGTGCCTGAGCTGTCGGGGTGATCCCACCACGCTCACCCTGGTATTTTCCTGCAAGCTGCATGGAGCAGCCTATGGCAAGGGCATCTATCTGAGCCCCATCTCCAGTATTTCCTTTGGATACTCAGGTAAGAGGCTGCCTGCACTGTCCAGTCCTGCCTGTGCTGCCCGGTCCTGCCTGTGCTCCCATTCCCACTCCCTGCATGGGCCTAGGGAGGTTTGGCATCGTGCTGGCTGGAGAAGCTGCACAGCAGTGGCAGCATCCCATGTCCATCCCATCACACCAGCCTCTTCCCAGCCAGGATGGGGCTTTCCCACACACCAAAGAATCAAACCCCCATCATTTTATGGGCTTCAGAAGCTGCTGCAAACACTTTTGGGGGGTTCCCAGGGCTCAGGAGCACTGAGGGTGGTGATCCCTGTCTGTGGCATGTGTCCCTGCATCACCCCAGGGAGTTTTCTGAGAGACTGAAGCCCCTGCCTTGCTTCTTCCACAGGAATGGGGAAAGGGCAGCACCGGATGCCGTCGAAGGATGAGCTGGTGCAGCGGTACAACCGGATGAACACGATCCCCCAGGTGGTGGGCCAGGGGACACCGGGGCAGGATGGGAGAGGGGACATGGCACCCATGGGTGTTTGGGACAGGGTGGTAACACCGAGTGCTCTTCCCACAGACCCGCTCCATCCAGTCTCGCTTCCTCCAGAGCCGCAACCTGAACTGCATCGCGCTTTGCGAAGGTGTGGGGGTGTGGGGGGATAATGGGGGGGACAGGCAGCACCCTTGGGGTCACCAGGTGGGTGGAGGGGTGGAGGCTCCCCACAACGGGCTGTGCCCAGACAGGCCCTCTGTCCCCCATCCCGCCTCCAACAGCCCCTTGCCCCAGCAGTGATCACCTCCAAGGACCTGCAGAAACACGGCAACATCTGGGTCTGCCCTGTCTCGGACCACGTCTGCACGCGCTTCTTCTTTGTGTGAGTCCGGCTGTGCCCACCATGCCGCACCTGCGGGACCCCCACAGAACCCCCCTCACCCCCTTCTCCTCTTCCAGGTACGAAGATGGCCAAGTGGGAGATGCCAATATCAATACTCAGGACCCCAAAATCCAGAAGGAGATCATGCGTGTGATCGGGACTCAGGTGTACACAAACTGAGCGGTGGTGGTGGCAGTGGGACCCTAGGACCCGCTGGGCACCGAGTGAGCCCCCGGGCAAGGCTGGGCAGGGCCGAGCAGGTTTTGAGCCCCCCGGGCAGGGCAGAGCCGGGGCAACACCGGCGGCTCCACCTGTACATAGGCACTGGGCACCCTGTGAGCTCCAGGCGGGTTCAGCAGTCCCTTATCCCCTCCCTGTCCCCTTCCCACTGTCCCCGACTCTGGCAGCCTGGAGAAGGAGCTGTGGGACCAGCGTGGCTGGGGACGGCCCCTCCTGGCGTTGGCAGCGACGGCGTTTTTATCAATGATGACAAACTGAAGCAAAAAAAAAAAAAAAAGACCAAAACAACCCCAAAAACATAGGAAAAAAAAAAAAAGAGAAAAGGAATCAGTGTTTGTGGATTTAACTTGGAATTAAAGTGTGGGGTATGGGAAGGGGATGCTGGGGAAGGGATGGGGGTACAGAGTGGGAATGGGATTGTGAGGAAAGGGGCACAGGAAAGGGATGGGATCACAGGGAAGGGGTGGGATGGGGTCGCAGGGAAGGACTGGGATTCAAGGAAAGGGGTGGGAGTGTGAGGGAGGAATAGGGGCACAGGGAAGGGATTGGAACCTGGGGAAGGGATGGGGGCACAGGTAAGGGATGGGATCAAGAGAAAAGGATAAGATTGTGGAGAAGAAGTGAGAAACATGGAATGGTATCTTGGGGAAGGGATGGGATTGAGGGGAAGGGATGGGACAGTGGGGAAGTGCCATAGAGAATTGATGCAGCTTTGGGATAGCGCTGGGAGGGAAGCACTCCCCCATCACACCGTGGCAAAGGGATGGTGCTGTGGAGGTGGAACACCACGGAGAAGGGATTGTGCCTCAGGGGCTGGGACATGGGACCCCACGGAGCAGCCCCCAGGCACCGGTGCTGCAGCAGAGATTCAAACGGGAAGGAACCTCCCAGGGACAGCATTTTGCTTCAGCCCAAGCCCATCCCAGTAACTCCATGGGCACGGAGGCAGTGCCAGCACAGTTGCATCCTGCTAGACCCAAACCTGGATGGAAACCCAGCAGAGACAGCCCAGAGGCTGCCAAGGCCCAGGGTGGCAGAGGGGGCTGGGCACTGCTGCTCCCCACGGTCCAGGGGCTCTCCAGGTCAGTCTCTGGAGTGCAAGGCCACGATTTCAGCCAGGATTTATGATGGAATTTAAGAACAATTGTAAGAATTATCCTGGTTTTGGTACAGACACCGCCTGAGTCCTGACAGGTTCATTACACCAATGGGTGCACTCAGTGTCACTTCTGGCACATCCCTGTCCTCTGTCCCCCCGGATCCCAACATCTGTCTATCCTCACTTGTCCCACACTGGCTGCTCCAAGTATCCAAGGGCCACCCAAATCTGGGCTGGTGGCCAGTCCCTTGCCCCTAGCCCTGCCACCTACCCCTTGGTGAGGGCCGGTTTGCTTAAATTTGTGGGGTTTGGGGTTTTTTCCTCTCCTCAAATAAAAAATAAATCACTTTCCTGGGATCATGGCAGTCACTCAGCTGTACCCACGAGTGCGAAGGGACATCCCATGGGACATGGCCACATCTCTCTGAAGCTCCTCTGTCCCTTGGAAAGATCAGTGAAACCACAGGGCTGTGTCCTGTCCTGATTCCCTCTGCAGCCAGGGTGAATTTCTCCAAAAATTAGCATTTCCTGTGAAAAAGCAAATAAAAAGAGAGGCCTATGGTGCTCTCCCAGCTTCACCAAATCCTGGTGGATGCTCCAGCCCATCTGGAGCTGAGCTGGCCATAAAGGGGGCCCGGGTGTCGTGTTTGGTGGTGGACGCGGCAGTGATTGCTCCAAAGAACCAACGAAGGTGACGATTTTGACAAAATAAGTTTATTTCGCTTCACTTCATTTCGGCTGAAACCTCACATTTTTCTTTTTTTTTTTTTTTTTAAGTTTTTTTGGCTGAAAAAAAAAATCCCAACCCAAAAATCCCCCCAAACCAACCCAAAATGCAAAGAACCATATCACTCCGCCCTCTGCCAGAGGCGACCGAGGGGCTCCAATTCCCCCTGGGCCATGGAGCTGGGGGAGCCACTGCAGTCCCCCCCTCAAATCCCCTCTGCATCCCCCCAGTCCCCAGCCACGAACTGGCCCCCGAAACCGAGCCCTTGAACCCCCCAAATCCGAGCCCTGTAGGAAACGCTCGTGGCTCTGAACGCCCGAGGGTTTTACTCAACCTTCTTAATTTTTGTTGGATTTTCTCCTCCTTTCCCGAAGTTTTTTTGTGTGTTTTGTTTTGTTTTGTTTTTTTTTTTAAATTAATTTATTTATAGATATATTTAAAAAAAGCAATAGTCCTTTGGTCCCTAAACTCTAAGGAATGATATGACTCTGAAACAAGTAATCCTATGTCCCTGTGCCAGTGACAAGCAGGGGAAGCGCGTGTCCCGCCACCCTGCTCCATGGGATATATATATATATATACTTATTTATATATATCTTCTATAAGTCCAACATACTTTGATCCTTCTTTTTTTTCCCCCAATGCAGGGAAAAAGGAAAATCTTGCCGTTTTTCTTTATCAACCAAACAAACATCCTCCAGGTGAAGCGCCCGAGGCTGGTCCCGTCCCACCGGCTTTGGTTTAAGAATCCATTTGGAGCCTCTTTTCCTCGTTTCTCCTGGGAAATCGGTAGCAGCAAATGAGTGCTTTAAAAAAAAACCCAAAAAACAAAGGTAGATTGTGGCCCGGCTGCCCGGAGCCATCAGCCTTGCTCCCAGTGAGGGATCCGGTGAGTCCTGGCGAGCGGCCGGCGGCGAATCGCAACCCCGGCACCGCATCGCTCCCCTCCTTCCTTGTCTTCCTCTCATTCCCATTAAACAACAAACAAGACCAGTCTGGGAAAAAATTCAAAAAGGAAAAGCTACGACCAAAACGCTCTCTTCTTTGCCATTTTCTCCTTCACCTCCTCCTCCTCATCCTCCTTTTCCTCCTCCGGGATGTGTTGCAAAGAAAGAGAGTTACGGGTTTGGATACTGCACTTGGGGAAGGGGAAAGTCGTCAGACACTGCGGGACGTCCGACCTGAAACAGAAGGAAAAGGTTGTCAGCCTGCTTCTGGGGGATGGAGGGAGGGAAGGATGGAGGGAGGGACCCAGATCCTTTGGGTGGGTGGTGCCAGGCAGAGATCCCTGATGAGGACAGGGGGACGTTCCACAACCGCCACGTCCCCCAGGGCCAGGCCCCCTCACCTCTCCGCAGGCTGAGCTGGGGTCAGTAGGGTCTGTTGGCATCTTTCGGCCGCTTTAGCTGCACTTTTAGCCTCTTCATGCCGATCTGGAAGCCATTCATGGCCTGAATGGCCGCCTGAGCACTCGTCGGATTGTCAAAACTGACGAAACCTGGCGGGGAGGGGACACAGGGGCTTGTCACCACACACATCACACAGGCGGCTGCCTCACCTCAACCCAGGCACTGAAATCCTGTGGGATGCTCCTGGTTTGGGAGTGCTGGGAGAGAGGGTCCTTGGGTAACATCACAACCCCGGATTGCAGGGGACTGGGTGACAGGTGATGGCACCTGCAAGGACACCGAGGTCTGCAGGGACACTGAGCTGACAAGGCTGTGAGGACAGCAGTATAAGAGGGTCCAGAGGACACTGGAGCCATCTGCAGGGACACTACAGGGTGGGATTTGTGGGGTCAGTGGGATGACAGGGTCTGTTAAAGTGATAGGGGCTGCAGGGACACTGAGGTGATGGGGTCTGTGGGGACGCTAAGGTCTGCAGGTATGTGGAGATACCAGGGTGATGGGGTGTGTGGGGACACCAGGATGGGATGTGTGGGCTCAGGGGACATCTGTAGGCCAGGTCTGCAGGATCCTGAGGTGATAGGGCCTCCAAAGACACAACAGTGAAAGAGTCTATGGGGACACCAAAGTGACCAGGTTTGTGGGGACACCGAAGTCTATGAGAGGGAGGTACAAATCCCTGAACTGGGGACATAGGGAAGAGTTGGACCCCAAGCAAGGGACAGCAGGGAGACATGGACTCCATCTGAGCTGGGAAAGAGACATCCCCAATATGAGATGTTGGAGAGACAGACTCTCAAGCAAGAACCTCAGGGAGAGCTGGACACCCAATATGGAGATGCTCTGTGCTGGGTTGTCCAGAAGAGTCAGACTCCCGAGCTGGGAAGAGTGGGGAGAGCCAAACCCTTGAGCTGAAATTTGGGGAGAGACAGATCCCTTGAGCCGGAATATTAGGAGAGCTGGACCTTCAGGTTGGAGACCAGAAAGAATGGGACTCTGGAGCTAGAAACTGGTAAGAGCTGGGATGTTGAGGAGCATCAGATATTTTAAATGGGATGCTGAAGAGAGCCAGATCCCTGAGCTGGGATGTTGAGGAAGAGCCAGATCTCCAAGCTGTGATGTTATAGATAGCTGGAACCTTGAGCTGGGGACTGGGAAGAGCTGGAGCCCTGAGCTGGGACACCAGGGAGAGAGAGCCACACCCTGGGACTTACCAAAGCATTTACTCTGGTTGGTGGCACGGTCCACAAAGACTTTGGCAGAGATGACGTTGCCGAAAGGCAAAAACATCTGCGTGAGCTCCGCGTCCCCGAACTCCTGGGGCAGGTGATAAATAAACAGGTTACAGCCCTCGGGACCTGGGTGACACACAAAGGACAGGACACGTCAGCTACGAGGTGGGGTCACCCCGGGGGGACACCGAGGAGCCACCGGCCCCACATGGGGTGAGCCCCACCCCTCACCTTCTCTCTGCTGCTGCGGGATGAGGGGCGCTTGCTGGGGAAAGGCTTGGCTGATGGGAGCGTAGGCAGTGGGATATGCTGCTGGAAGAGAGAAACAAGAAGCTGAGGCCACAGCACCCACCCCAGCCACAGAGAGGGCTGGGACAGGCAGGTCCCCTGCTGCCATCTGGGATCAAGGGGCCTCTCCTGCCCCACGACTGCTGGCTCTGCCTTTCCCACCCCTCCTGATACACCAGGGATATGGGAACAGCTCCCCCAGGAGAAATGCTGCTGATAGCAGTAATACAGCCTCAAGGCTGAGGAAAGATGGTACTTTTGGTGAAAAACCCCAAAGATTTGGGTCCAAAACTTGATTTTCTGTTGCAAATCTAGACCTTGCTGTCAATGTTCCTAATTAAATGGCTGCTGGGCTTGATATATTTCCAGGGAGGCTCTGTCTCCTTTCCCTCCATGGCCCATGTCCTTGGCCATCAGACTTGGCCACACGATGAACATCCAAAGACTTTTGGTGTCTTGGTGTGGAGGTGGCCCTCTGTCACCTCCCAAATCTTGCCTGCTCTTCTCAATACCACTGCCAGGGTTCCCCCATGGAGTTCTCTCAGCCTCATGGGTATTAAAATTCACTTTGCACTATCCAAAATTTGCACAGGGGGCCAGTGGGATGAAGGGACTGCGCTTTCATTGGTATCACCACCCTGGAGCTCCTGCCAGGGCTCAGCACCTGCTGGTCCCCTCATGAATCCATGCCCAAATACACTGTCCCAGTCCAATGTTCAACCCCAGGATGATGTTCACCTCCCAAAAATAAGGGTGAGGAGCAAAGAGGGGAAAGAGGGAAGGAGTGGGAAGCGAAGTTTGAGACCTGCATAGTGCTGCATGCCGGCGTAGGCCTGCTGGAGGGGGTCTGCCACCGTGGGGCTTTGAGCTGGGAAGAGAAGAGAAAGGAGAAGGAAGATAGAATAAGCCAGAGAAAGCCAGGGATGCATGCACAGCTCCTATGGGAAAGGGTTCCTGACCAAACGCCGCCATGGAGGGGCAGAGCTGCTCCCTGCCTGAATTCCCTCCTCCCTGCAGTGATGCCACGGGAACACACGGGGAGCACACGGCAGGTTCATCCAGCATGTTCCTGGGATGGGGAGCACCCCCTGAGCATCCCGCATGAGCCAAGCACACTCCCCTTGCCCGGGGCTGCGGCAGAGCCCCAGGAGGGCTGTACCTGGGTAGGGGTGGATGCCATTGGTGTAGATGGTCTCGGAGGCGGGCTGCCCGTTGGTCTGGGGCGGCAGCGGGCTGAAGCCGTTCACCCCAATGGGCGTGGCAATGCTGGGCACCGGCGCCGTGCTGATCCCGGGAGGAGTGCTTGTACCTGCAGGAGCATGGCGTCAGGGCCGGCATCACCCCGAGAGTGCCCTCCCGAGGATGTCAAGTGGCAAATGCGGGGGTCCTACCTGAAGAGGGGGTGAGGGGGGCAGCCACCAGCCCGCTGACATTGAAGGCAGCCATTTGTTGCATCTGGGCGGCAGCGATGGCAGCCATGGGGTTGAGGCAGGTGCCCTGCGCGGCCGCCATCAGGGCTGCCTGCTGCTGCATGATCTTCAGAAAAGAACGGCGGAAAAGAGACAGAGCACAGGAGGCAGAGAGAAGGAGAGAGAGGGGAGGGCAAATCAGCATCTCTGCTTTGGATGGATTCCGAGGAATAAATGCCACCTGCTGCCAGACCCAGGGACAGGAGTCTTGGTCTTGGTGATGCTAAATATGGGACCACTGAATCCTACAACCACCCTCAGCTGTGGGGAGGAAGCCCTGCAATTGCCCTTAAACTGGGATATACCAACCCTCCCAGGCATCCACACATCCTGGCACCGGTGCTTTCAAGGGCCAAACCAGCCCTCCCACCCACAGGGGTCCCCCAAAGCCCCAGTGTGCACCAGCTCCTACCGCTTGTGTGTAGGCCCCGTAGGCGCCGAACTGGATGGTCATGGGGTTGAAGATGCCCAGCTGCCCTGCCATCTGATGCATCCGCCGCAGGGTCCTCTCCTTATCTGTGTCCGCAAACTTCACCACCAGGCTGGACGAGGCGCCCTGAGGTGGGGGGAAGATGGGGCTGATGGTGGGACCACAGCAATGCCCCAAATTGTGTACCCACCGTGGTGTGGCTCGCAGTGTCTGTAGCATCCTCAGCCCTGGGGACGCTGCCCAGCTTGGCAGCAGCAACCAATGATCGATGTGAGGTTTAATTATAGCCAGTTTTTCTCCCCAGTGGCAGCTCCCTGACCTCTGTTTCCTTTCCCTTTCCTTGTCCACAATTCTGACCTTCAGCGTTAATTAAACTGCCCCTTTCTCTGGCATGGAGAGAATTAGCCCCATGCTCCCACCTATAGGGCTCAGCACCTTGGCAAGGAGGAACCTGGGGTGATGTGGCCAACAAATTGCCAGCCTGCAGGATTTTGATGCAGTTAGACTGAGGATCAAATTAGTGGGTGATTGTATTAAGCAGGCAGCATGGGGTCAGCCAGGGCAGGGTGCGAGCCTGGCACTTACCGGCATAGTTTGGCTGCCGTGCAGGCTGTTGATGGCAGCCTGTGCCTCGGCGTGGCTGCCGTATTTCACAAAGGCACAACCTAAGGGAACAGAGGGAACATGGAACAGATTGGATTTAGCCATTGTGGGTCCATAGGATGCCCACCTGGTGCCCCAAAGCCCACCTTTGCTGGCTCCATCAGGCCCTCGGAGGATGGTGCATTCCTCAATCTGGCCGAAGGGCTCAAAGAGGCGGCGGACGTCATCCTCGCTCTGCTGCTTCCCCAGCATGCCCACAAAGAGCTTCCTGTCTTCTAAAAACAAAACCAAGCCCATCAGAGAGTGGGAGGTCACTCACCATCCCAACCCCTCACCAAAAATGGTGTATGGAGGGGAAGGAGCCAAGTGACATCAGAGGGAGGGAGCAACACCGATCCTACAGAGAAGGTGCCAGGCTTACAATCTCCATCCTACAGAACACTCAGGACGGGAAAACCTCTCCTGTGGGGAAATTGCTGAGGGGTGAATTCTGGAAGAGCCATTGCTTTAGGGAGTGGAGCTGGGGCTTTTCCTAGGAATGGGGGGGCTGGCTCCCCAGCACTAGGGTGGGATGCGGTGGAACAAAGAGAATCCACAAACTGGACGTGATCACCCTCGTGTGATCGACTCACAGAACAACCCGCAGCCTCCAGCCGTGCCCAGGGGACATCAATAACCCAAACACAAGAGAAGGGATAGTAAATAATGAGAATTTCATGATTATTACCAGCATCTGTCTTGTGCGGCCGCGCGTTCCTGCCGCACGCTAATGGCATTTGACAAAGGAAATAAGGTGCCCTGTCAAGAGCGTTGCTGGGGAAATAAATAAATAATGGCAGGAGACGATGAATGTTTAGTCTGTTAAGGTAGCAGGAAAATTAGTTAAGGGAATAGGGCTTGTGTGTTGTCTAGTTAAACATAAACCACCTCCCAGGGGGAGTGGGCTGGGCAGCCCAGCGTTGCCTCCTGGGCGAGGGGGCTGGAGATGGGAGCCCCAGCTCACCCATCGATTTTTAATCCTTCACCAATTACACTCGGTAAGTGGGTAATTTATTTGCCAGGTCCCTCTGGGACATGCTGGGACCAGCTCCCGGAGTGTTTAATAACAGGGTTTGGATGAGGGGGGAGCTACCCCAGCCATCCTGCCAAGTGCAGGCGGCCCCATGAGAGCATCCTGCATGTCCAATAGTGCCTACCTGCCCAGCAACACAACAGATGTGGGATTTTGATCCAGTTCCTGTGATTTTGCTCAAATGATTACCTCAGCCTGGCAATGCCACAGCCCAATGAGTGGCAAATGCTCACAAAGAACTGAGAGGGGCTTGGGCCATATGAAGCCAGCTCCTGCCCCAGGATCCCCACAGGCAGCTCTGGAGAGGGAATTTTTGGTAAATTAAGGTGGTGAGGGAGAATGGCTGGCTAGCGCTCTGCCCCCCAGGATGTTGGGATGCTCATGGTATGATGTCAGGACATTCCCAGGATGACATCAGGATGCTTCCCCCTGCTGACCAGACAGGGAGGGAGAAGATGGCATTTGCTCTGCACCCATGTTTGGATGCCACCAGCAAAGGCAGATCCTTTCCTCGATTTCTCTCCAAACCAACCTTCACACAGCAGCCCTCGTGATGCCACCATGTCCCCCATCACCCCCCAGATGAACCTGTGCCCCCCTGCCCATGCCAGGCATCTGGAGACTTGAGGACCTACCTCCTCGGCCCTCGCTGTCGGCCGGCTTCACCTGGATGGGGCGGTTCATCTGCAACACAAGCGAGAGCGGGTGGTCAGTGTGGTGGCCCCTGAACCCTCTCCATAGGGAACAGCAGGATTTGGCCAATGACTGGCACCAGGAGCTGGGGAAAAGGGGAGGGACCTGCGTGAATAGATCTGGGGCTTGTGGCCACAGAGACCCAGGGATGCCATGTGCAAAGGGCAATGCTCCGGCCCTGGCTATGGGCACCCGGTGCTGCATGCGCCCGCGGGGCCGCCAGTGCCAGGCTTGGCCGCCTGCCTGCTTTCCTCGACTGCAAAGGACTGCAGAGGCAGCAGTAGCACCCCGCCAGCCCCGGCCCCTCTGGCACCATTGCCCTCCTTTTCCCAAACCTCACCCAAATTTGGCCTCCTCCTTGTCACCGCCACGTGCACCCACGAGCATGACACCCGTGTGCAGCAGGACACACTGGGCTGGCAGGCACATCCGTGGCCCGCTGCCCCATGGAGCCATTTCTCCTCCTCTCTCCCCCTCCTTTTTCCCCTCTTTTAGCCGAAAAATGCTACAATTATGGCCGTTTCCATGGCAACAAGCGTGCTTCCCCCGCGATGCTGCGGAGCCCGAGCCATGTGCTCGATGGGGTCGCCACGGCAACAGCGAGATGTCACACATGACGGCGCGGGGGTGCGCACACGAACACGCCTTGAGCACACACGGGGACAGTCGCCCCCATGTGTGTGTGCACCCCATCCCAGGTGCCCTCTGCTGCACCCCTGGAAGGGGTCCCTAAATTTTGGGGCTGGGTGGGGGCAGAGACAGTCCCCCCCACATCAGGGTGAGGAAGAGGATGGGTAAGAGAGAAGAGGAGGGAGGTTTCCACAGCAACCACCTCGTCTCCAGGGAAACGTGGAGAGAAATGTCAGCGCAGAGCTGGGGATGGTCCAGGGAAAGGATTGAGTCCCCAGGAGTCATGGGATGGCACAGAGTGGCACCGAGGGACACCTCACAGTGTCACCCATTATGTCACCAGTCCCCCAAACACCCACTCTGGGCAGGGGCAGGATTTGGCTCACCCCAAACTCTGGAGGCTTTGACAGCACCCAGACCCTAAACCCAAACCCCGCTGTCCCTCACATCCCTGCCACAGCTGGGAGGAGGAAACCCCATTTTGGGGGGGGCTGCCCCCCTCCACTGACCTGCCAGCCCCATTTACCAGCGTGATGGCCTTTGATGGAATAAATTTCCCATGCCCGCTGCTGTATGCTTAATGTAATAAACCCAGTGAGGATGATTTAGAATAACATTTACGGAGCCGCAGAGTGTCATTTTGATGTGTCTCCCGTCTCCGCTCGCCGGTTATTAAACTGTATTGATTCCCCGGGAGCGGCTGATGTTTATAAATGTCAGGCCTCAGGGACCAGCTAACCTACCCTAGGGCTGCCACACCACACCAAGGAGAAATTGTCCTGGCCTCTAGACACCCCCAGAAGGGGGTTTTGGCACCCTTGACATCACGACATGCCCACCACAGGGTGCTCAATGACCCCCTGTGGCACCCAGAGCTCCTGATTGTCCCCACAGCACCCCTGCACTGTGTCCACACAGCCCTCTATCCATCCTCCCACACCAAACAGCCACCTAGGCATTTTCCCCTGCTCCTGACACCCACCTGCCACCCTGCAACACCCATCCATCCATTCATCCATCCCGGACACCCACACACCCATCTTCCCCCTGGATTCATCCAGCCATAATCCAACACCCATTCCCATAGCATCCATCCATCCCCATAGAACCCATCCATATCCCCAACACCCATCCTCATAACACCCATTCACTCCCATAGCATCCATCTACATTGCCAACATCCATCCATCCACCCCCGAATACCTGTCCATCCTCACTGCAGCCATCCATATCACCAGCATTCATCCCCATACACCCATCCATTCCCATAGCATCTATCTATATTGCCAAGATCCTCTATCGATCCCCCAACACCCATCCATCCCCCAACACCCTTCTATCCCTGTACCACCCTTCCATCTGCCCATCCATCTCCCATCTTGCCACCACCCACCTTTCCACTCCCACAGCATCCATCCATCCATCCATCCATTCCCAACTCCCAGCTATCTCCCACACCCCAAGGACATAGTGACACCCTGCTTGGGGTGCTCCAGCACCAACCATCATCAGCAGTTCACAAAGTCCCAGCTACCCCATGGCCAAACCACTGGTGTTCCACAGCACAGGAGGTCACGAGCGGTTGCTAAACCACCTCCTGACTGCTCAGGCACTGTCCCCCACCCAAATTTGGAGCCCCCCAAGAACCTAGGTACCAGGGAGGGCCAGCCCATAGAATCACTGCCAGGGGATGTGCTCAGTGGGTCACTTCTGGCCTTTGTTCCTTCCTTGGCATCACACTCCTCCTTGTCCTCACAACCAACAGCCAGAGGATCCAGCAGGCCACCGTGCACCCAAATGAGATGGAGGTGGCAGGTGACACTGGAGCAGCGAGTGCCCGTGGGAGTCTGGTGTCCGTGCCACCCCAGGGAGACAGGAACCGAGGTACTGGCAGTCACTCCTCACAGGAATACCTTGACAGAGCCCTGGGGGCAACCCACAGCCAGGCCACACAGCCAGCCTGGGGACAGCCACACCACTGCACAACCCTGCACATGTATGACCACCCTGGCACACCCTGCACACACCCACACACCTCTAAACACAACCACAGACAGCCAGCACCCCCCAAGCACAGCCACCCCAACCCCCCTGGCACAGCCGTAGACCTCGGAAGCCACACACGCGTGCCCACGCAGCGCTGCGCACACCGCGCGTCTGTCCCAGCACCGCTGCGCTCCCACGTGCGGCACACAGCCCCACGGGCACCTGGACAACCCCAGCCTGCATGCCACGCAACTCCCACAGAGCCCTGCCTGCTGCCATGGATCACACACAACCACGGGCATGCACCCTGGGATACACAGCCAGCACTGGGGATACAATGCCCCTTGCCTCAGTTTCCCCACTGTAGCAGCAGGACCCATACTGGGACCCCCAGGAGCCCTCTACGGGCACACAGACACCTTGGGTGGGCTCACAGCATCCCCAGCAAAACCCACATCCCACCCCCAGGGCCACCCTGCACACCTGAGCCCAGCGCAACACCTGAGCACACCTGCACTCCCCATCACACCCGGTGTGCCCACACACCCCCACTGCTGCCACTCCCCCGGCCCATGTGCACCCACACCCTGCCACCAACACTGGGGGCAAGGACACCCTAAGCTCCTCTTCCCACACAGACACCCACGTGCTTGCACATCCACCAGCACCGACCTGCACATACCGGGGGTCAAAGCCGTACCCCTGCCAACACACACCCCCCTCCCTGCACTGCCTGTGGCTGCAACACCCCCGAGCACTGCCCCTTGCACACCTGCACCACGCACACACACACACAAACCTGCGGTGGAAAAATACACCCTCCAGCCAACACACAAACCAAACCCATCCCTGGGGGCAGATACACCTCCTCACCATCATCCTCCATCCCTGCCTGCAAACCATCCAGCATTCCTGGGTGCCAGAACACCCTCCTCACCAACACCCACACCACACACAGCCTCCCTGGGTCCAGATACATCACCAACACCCCTCTGCCAACACCCTCCCTTTCCCTGGGTGCAGGTACACCCTCTCGGCCACACACACACACAGAGCCCCCATCCCTGAGTGCAAATACACCCTCATCACCAACAACCACCCTGCCAACACATGCACCCCATCCCCGGGTGCAGATACACCCTGCACAGCAACACTCACACCCACACACCCCATCTGCGGGTGCAGAAACATCCTCTCACCAATACCCCTCCAACCCCATTCTTCTATGCAAATACACCCTCCTCACCAACACTCCTCCATCCCCAACACCCATCCCTGGGAGCAGATACACCCTGTCACCAACACCCCCAATTCTCATCCCTGCGTGCAGATACACCCTGCAACACCCACACCCACCCACCCCATCCCTGGGAGCAGATACACCCTCCACCAACACCCCTCCATCCTCATCCCTGTGTGCAGATACACCCTGCAACACGCCCACTCACACACCCCAACCCTGTGTGCACATTCACCCTGCTCATCAACACCCCTCCATCCCCGTCCCTGTGTGCAAATACACCCTGATCACCAGCACTACTCCATCCCCATCCTATGCCTGGGAGCAGATACACCCCCTCACCAACACTGCTCCATCCTCATTCCCATCCCTGGGTTCGGATACACTCCATCACCAACACCCACACTCACACCCACCCTCCCGGTGTGCAATTACACCCTGACCACAAACACTGCTGTATCCCCAGCCCATCCCTGGGAGTAGATGCACCCTCTCACCAACAGCCCTCCATCCCCATCCCTGTGTGCAGATACGCCCTGCTCACCATCAACACCCCTCCATGCCCATCCCCAGGAGCAAGGATCCACACCCTCGCCATCACCCCCACTCCCACACATCATCCCCGGGAGCAGATACACCCCTTCGCCATCACCCACATCCCTCTACAGCCCCTCCGGTGCAGCCCCCCCACCCCGGCGCCAGCGGAGGCTGCCGGGCGGTGCCGGGCCGTGCCGGGCCGGGCGGAGGCGGCGGCAGACAAAGGCGGGGCCCTACCTCGATGCAGAGGATCTTGGACCCGGCGGGCACCCACAGCACGGGCGGCCGCGGCCCCGGCGCCGGCACCTGCGGCAGCTGCATGGCCGGACCGGCCGGACCGCCGGCTCCACCGAGGCGGTTCGGCTGAGCTCGGCTGCGCTCGGCTCCACCCGAGACGGCTCGGCCGGGCTCGGCTTAGCTCGGCTCGGCAAGGCCGGGCTCGGCTGGGCTGGGTTCGCCTAGACTCGGCTGGGTTCGGTTCGGCTCGGCCAGATTCGGCTGGGCTCGCGCAGCGGCGCGCGGGGGGCGGGGCACAGGGCGGGGCAGCCGCAGCCCCGCCGAGCCGAGCCGGGACGGGCGGGGGGCGGGGCCTCTCTGGGGACACGCCCATCGCCGTCTGGACACGCCCCCGGTCCCCCGACACGCCGGGGGCGGGGCCTGGCTGGGGCAGGGGGCGAGGGTGGGAACACGGGGGGTGCGCAGGTACAAGGGTGTGAGCACAGGTACAGGGGGTCAGCAGGGACAGAGGTGTGAGCACAGGTACAGGGGGTCAGCAGGTACAGGGGTGTGAGCACAGGTACAGGGGGTTAGCAGGTACAGGGGGGTGAGCACAGGTACAGGGGGTCAGCAGGTACAGGGGTGTGAGCACAGGTACAGGGGGTTAGCAGGTACAGGGGTGTGAGCACAGGTACAGGGGGTTAGCAGGTACAGGGGGGTGAGCACAGGTACAGGGGGTCAGCAGGTACAGGTGTGAGCACAGGTAGATGTGTATGAGCAGGTTCAGGGGGTGAGCACAGGTATAGGTGGCATGAGCAGGTACAGGGTATGTAAGCACAGATATAGGTGTGTGAGTACAGATACAAGGGGTATGAGCAGGTGCAGGGGGTGAGCACAGGTAGAGGGGTTGTACATAAATGTACATGAGTGTGCTTGTGTGCACAAGCAGAGAGATGTTCACAGGCACTCACAGGTATGTACCCAAGCGTACACAAGTGCGTACACATGGGTGTGTGCAAGAACAGAAGGGGTGCTCAGGCACAGACAGGTGAGCACACACAGGTGTGAGAACCTGCATGGGCACAGGGGTGTGAGCACCAGCACACAGTCCCCTGCACCGCTGTGTGCACACACACGCAGAGGGATGAACACAGCTGTGAGTCCCTGTGGGGCGTGCACCCGCACATCCATGTGCACACGCGTGCTCACACACACACCCCCCCAACCCCCAAGTGAGTGGCCATGGCAATAGCAATACGCACACGTGTGTGCCTGATGAGAATCCCCAGGCAGGGCCTGACCCCGGCCTCCTTTAGGCTGCCAAGGTGGGCTGTTAACTCTTGAACCTACTGATGTGTGGCCCCACTGGTGAGAGCACGGCTCAGGAAGCCACATCCCCGCAAACCTCATCCCCCTCTGTCAGCTACACACACACATAACAGGGATTGATATTCATGGGCCCCGGCTCTTTCCCCAGCCAACCCGCGGGCCTATTGATTTTTATTTAGGCGAATAATTAAATATTTATTTTCACTTTGTTAAGCTCGGGAGGTCGGAGCCCACAGAAAGCGCAACAGCACGCGGGCGGCTGGAAAATCAATGCCTTGGTTTGCGGCTGCTGGAAGTGGCTCCCGCGCCTCGGGGAGGTGTCACCAGCCCCCGCCCTGGCTCACCCCGATCCCTCCGTGTCACTTAAGGCTTCCACGCCTTGGGGAGGTGTCACCAGGTGCTGCTCCAGCTCAACTCGACCACCTCAGTGTCACTTAATTCTCCCATGCTTCAGGGAGGTGTCACAAGGCCCTGCCCCAACTGACCCCAACGCCCTCGTGTCACTTACCCCTGGCAGTGTCTTCTGCTCGTGCAGGGCACTCTGTGCCTTCAGTGCGGAGTCACGGGCGCAGTAGGTGAGAAAGGCACAGCCTGTGGAGACAGGGAGACAGGATCAGTGTCCGGCCTGGTATTGCCACAGCGCCCTGTGCACACAGGGAGCTGGTGGCACAGCTGATATGGCACTGTGGTGTCTCAGCATCCTGGCATCCAGCACAGTGATACCCAGCACACCAGCACACTGGGACTTGATACCCTGGCATCCAGAACCCTGGCCCTGTGGCATCCAGAATCCCAGCACTCTGTCACCCTGGCACAGCGGCATCCAGAACCCAGCAACCTGGCATGGTGGCATTCAGCACCTCAGCACCATGGCATCCAGCATCTCAGCACCCTGACATCCTGGCACCCTGGCATTCAGCATCCTGGCATCCTAGCAGTCTATAACCTGGGATTTGGCACCCTGGCATGGTGGCATCCATCACCTCAGCACCACGGCATCCAGCAACAAGCACCCTGACGATCTGGAACCATGGCATTATGGCATCCAGCAGCTCAGCACCATGGCATCCACCATCCTGTTACACTGACACCCCGGCTCCATGGCATCCAGCATCCAGCATCCTGGTGCCCTGGTACTCTACACCCAGATGGGCACACACAAGGTCACAGTTCACCCCCAGAACAGGGTAGGAGATGGAGCAGCAGGATGAAGGAAGGAGCCAGGGGGAGCAGGCAGCACATGGGCAGTGGTGCTCTGGCCCCAGCCCTGGGGAAAGCCACAGCCCAAGTCCTCCAGGAAGCAGATCTCCAGGTGTCGAGGCTGTGCACCCTCTCTTGCCACCACAGTTCCCCCAGCCTAAGCATCCTCCTTGGGATGAGATTCATGTAGCGAAGGCACTCCGGCTCCTTCGACATCATGGCGCTTTGGAAATTGGGAATACGCCTGGGGTGAGGTTTTCCCACGCTGACTCACGCTGCCGAGCCACTCGCTCGCAGAGCTGGCAGCAACGAGCGAGAGCCCTGGGGACAGGGTCCGGTCCTCCTCGCTCCGTCTCTCCTGAAGCATTCCTGGTGCCTGTGCCACCGCTGCACCGCTCCCTCCCTGAGGGCTCCCCCCCAATTTGCTGGGGTCATATCCAAAAGCATCTGAAAGTGATATTAAAACAGCAGCAAAACAGTTTCCCTTCAACAAAGTAAATATTTAATGAATAAAATTGACATTGATGCATTTTTAATATTGGCACAATTAAATCCGCCAGCTGATTAAGTATTAATAACTCTTAATAAGTACAATCAGCGTGCCTGGGAGGAGAGGGAGCATGGCGGCAGGGCGGGGGATGCTGCGGGATGGGGTCCCTCACCTGCCTTGGGGTGCTGGGGACATCTGCCCTCAACGGAGAGCAAGGAGAGATCCCCCCAGATCAATACTCTCCCACTGCGGGTGGGAAGGGGAGATCAGCACAGCAGCTCGCCTCAGTCCCGGTGCCATTTCCAGTGTTTACCATCTGTAATCATGTTGGCTTCCTGCTCTCCGCTCGTCTTTCTCTCTTTTTTTTCCCTGTTTTTCCTGCAGGCGACAATGTAGACGGTGCCCGGGCATTCTGGAGAAGTTCAGAGGGCTGGCGCAGGAGCGGTTCTGCTCTGGAGGCTCGCCGGGAGGGAGGATGCCGTTCAAATTAGAGAAGCGTCCGCAATTAAATCATGCGGCTGGGCCGCAGACGTTGAAGCCCGCGCTGGAGGAAGCGCAGAGGGAGCCTGGAAGGGTGCAAATCCCATTGATCCAGGCACAGAAGCAGCTTCAGAGACACCTGGAGAAATGCTGGAGGCCAAAAGTGCCAAAAATGACAGAGTCCAGGCGGCTGCCCCATAGCCGAAGGGCATTGACAAGGCAGCAACCATAAATGCCAAGTTCTGGCTTCCCAGGAAAGTCCCAGCGAAGCAGGTGCTGGCCGTGGCACGGGGGTTTGGTGACAGCTCGTGGCTCCTGTCTGGGTGATACCTGGGGTGCCTTGACCCTGCTCTGGCACTGCACACAACAGCTCTTGGGTGGGGCGTTCTGTGCAGACCTTGGCGCTGCCTGTGCGACCCCTCGGTGCGTCACCGCTCCGCATGCCGTGCCACAGTGCCACAGCACCCGGGACACAGTGCAGACATGGCATGTCCCCATCCACTGTGGGGTGCCTCTATCTCAGGGGTGCTCCAACTCCAGGGGTGCACAAAACTCATGTGGGTGTGCTGATGCCAGACAGGTGCCCCCAAGCCAGGCAGATGTTCTAAAATCCATTGCAGTGCTCCCTGCCCTGTGATGCTCTGATCACAGGGGTGCCCCCAAGCCCGACAGCAGCACTCTGACCCCTGGTGGGTGCTCCCCTCTTCCTCAGGGGCACCCCAATCTTACGAGGGGCCATATATCCAAATGCTCCAAACTGGGGTGTTCCCACCTCAGGGTGCTCTACCTCAAGGTTGCCTCCAACTTAGCCGTACCTTCACCCCAAATGTTTCCCCTCCTTGAGGTGCCCCATACTTATGGGTGCAGCCTCCACATCAAGGGTATCTCCACCTCAGGTGTAACTCAACTGAGGGGTGTGCCCCATATTTGGGTACCCCACCTCAGGATGTCCCACCTTAGGGGTATCTCCATTTCAGGGATACATCACCTCACGGATACCCCCATCTCACAAGTGTCCCATACCAGTGTCTCCGATCTCAGGCATACTTCCAGATCATGGTGCCCCCTCTCAAAGCATCCCATCTATACCTCGGGGTGCTCCACCTCAGGTTATCCCACCTCATGGGTGTCTCCACGTCAGGGATGTTCCACCTTAGAGGTATCCCTGTCTTGGGATGCACCATCTCAGGATGTCCCACATGAGGGGTACCCTCATTTCAGGGCATCCCACCTCAGTGGTGGCCCACACTTAGGTACCAAACCTCAGATTGTTCCATCTGATGGGGAACCTCATTTCAGGGATGCCTTCGCCTCAGGGATATCCTACCTCAGGCTGTGCTATATCAGGGGTGCCTCACACTTGGGTGCCTTTGCCTCAGGGTGTCCCACTTCAGGGGTGTCTTCACCCCAGGGGTCCCCCTATATGCCAGGATGCTCCATCTCAGTTTATCTCACCACAGGGGTACCACAACCAAGAGGTCCCCACCCTCAGAGCATCCCACCTCAGGGCATCCCACTGAGAAGTATCCCCTTGCCCAGATGATCCATCTCCAGCTGTCCCACTTGAGGGGCACCTCACCTCAGGAGTATCCCACCTGAGGGACAGGATCCCTCACCTGAGAGGTTGCCTCCACCTCAGTTTGTCCTGCCTCACAGGTGGCCCATACTTAGGTGCCAGATCTCAGTGATGTTCCACCTGAGGGGTCTTCCATCTCAGGATACTTCACCTCAGGACATCCCAGCAGAGCAGAGCAGTACCTCACTGAGGGTACCTCCCACCTCAGGGCATCCCACTAGAGCAGTACATCACTGAGGATCCCCCCCACCTCAGGGTGTCCCATCAGAGACAGCAGTACCTCACTGAGGGTGCCCCCCACCTCAGGGTGTCCCACCAGAGCAGTACCTCACTGAGGTTCCCCCCCACCTCAGAGCATCCCACTAGAGCAGTACCTCACTGAGGATCCCCCCCCATCAGGGTGTCCCATCAGAGCAGTACCTCACTGAGGTTCCCCCCCACCCCAGGGTGTCCCATCAGAGCAGTACCTCACTGAGGGTGCCCCCCACCCCAGGGTGTCCCACCAGAGCAGTACCTCACTGAGGGTGCCCCCCACCTCAGAGCATCCCACTAGAGCAGTACCTCACTGAGGATCCCCCCCACCCCAGGGTGTCCCATCCCACCTCAGGACAGCCCCCACACCTGGGTGTCCCATGTCAGGGCGTCCCACCCGGGGGGTCCCCCGGCCCGCCGCCCCCGCACCTTTGTGCATGCCGGTGAAGCGATCCTTGAGCACGGTGAGCTCGTAGATGCGGCCGAACTCCTCGAAGAGCGGCTTGAGGTCGCTCTCCTCCAGGTTGCGCGGAATCTGCCCCACGAACAGCTTGATGGCGTCGTGGTCCTTCATGGCGATGGCGCCGGGCGGGCGGCTCAGCCCGTTCACCCGGCCGCTGTTCGCGGTGCTGAACGCCGCCCCCGCCGCCTCGCCCGCCGCCGCCGCCGCCGCCATGGCCCGTTCCGCGCCCCGCCCCGCCCGACCGGCACCGCTCGGCACCGCCCGGCACCGCTCGGCACCACTCGGCACCGCTCGGCTCGCCTCGGCACCGCTCGGCACCGCCCCGCTCGGCACCTCTCGGCTCGGCTCGGCTCGGCCCGCGCCCGCCAGCGGGCCCGTGACGTCAGCCGGACGGCCCCGCCCAGGGGTGCTGTATTAGCATAATGAGGGGGCGGTGGCCAATCAGAACCGCGGGGCGGAATGAGGGGCGGGACGCGCCCCGGCTCCGCCCACCGCTGCGCCCTGCCGGGCTCGCCGCGAACCCCCCCGGCTCGTCACCCTCCCGCGCCCATCGCCCCCCTGTGTCTCCCCATTGGGCACCTCCAGCACCCCCATCACCATCCATCAGCCCCCGTCATTACCATCACACACCGCCCCGCCCCACCACCAGAATCCTTATCAGCCCCCATCACCTCCCGGCATCCCCATTACCCCGATCACCACCATCACCCCCATCACCCCCCTGTCATGCCCTGCCACCCCCCATCCCCCTCATATCCCCCCAGGTACCGCCTTTGCCCTCATCCCCCCATCACCCCCATGACCACCTGTGTCCCTCCCTTTCCGCCGTCTCCCCATCACCCCCATCATCCCTCACCACCTCCATCCCGTCCCCACTCCCTCACCCCCCTCCATCCCCCTTTTGTGCCCATCATCCCCCAGCCCCAGCCAGGGCTGTCCAAGGAGCCCAGCAGCCTCCCACCTTTCCCCCTGCAGCCCTTTAGTGGCATCCAGACATAACCCCTCTCTGCTCCTCACCTCAGAGCAGGGTTTAAACATACAGAAAGAGGCTCAGAAATGGTCAATTTGAACACTTTGTTGAGTCTTTCACCTCCATGGACCCCACACTGCCCCTGTTGCCCCGCTGGGGCTGCCCCAGAAGGGGGAGGAGGAGAGCACTTCCCTCCTGCGTCCCGCGTCACCCCGAAAGATCTGTAATTAGACTGAGCTGCTTTAATACCTGGCGTTGTCGTTAATTAATTAATTAGTCCCAAAGCAGCAGCCAGGTGGGGGGAAGCCTGGCTTCCCCAGCGCGCTGCCTCGTGCGTGCAGGGGCTTGTAAGTGTGGGAGGGGTGTGAGCGTGTGCAACAGGGTACATGTGTGTGTGAGCATGTGTGCAAGCACGTGCAAGTCTACACAAACGTGCACGTGTGTTCTAGCCTGTGCAACAACATACAGCTGCTGCAAGAGTGCACACATGGGTGTAAGTATGTGCAAGGGCGTGCACAGCACATGTGGCTTCAGCCCTGCGTGTGAGTCTGGGCAATGACATGTGGGGGCATTTGCACGTGTGTGCAAGGATCCATATGGACAGGTGTGCAGGCACATGCACAAGTGTACGCATGCAAGCACCTATATGCACCTGTGTGCAAGTTTGTGCACGAGTGCATGTGTGCAAAGACCCGCATGCACGTGTGAGCAAGTGCATTTGTGCATGTGTGCGAGTGCACACGTGCAAGGGCCCTTAATGCACGCGTGTTCAACAACCCTCCTGCACGTGTGTGCACGAGTGGATGTGAGGACCCATAACCACGTGTGTGCAAGTGTGTGCTCACAAGCAGACACGTGTTTACAAGCACACACAGAACACACAGCACGTATTTACAAGCACACACGCACTGCGCACACGCTTCCAGGCACACCCCCGAAGCACACACGTGTTTACAAGCACTCACACACACCATGCACACAGGTGCCCGCCACTGCAAGCGTGTCCCAATAAACTCCCCTGGCTGGTGCCGGTGCCCACGGGTGGGTTTGGGACGTGTGGAGCACAATCCTGCCGGAATCCGGGGGCTTGGCGGCTGCTCCTCGCCGCCGCTTGGGTTTATTTTTAAACCCGTTGGCCCCGAGTGATTCACACGCTGCCTGTTCCCTGTTCCCTGCTCCCCGGCAAGTTTTACACGACCAAAATAGATGTTCTGGAAGGAACGGGCCACCCGGCAAAGGCGCGGCGGGGAGAGCAGGGTGCTTCCGGGATCCCGGCCCGTCCGAGGGTGGAAACGTCACCGATCCACCTCCATGAGGGTGGTTTTGGGAAGATGCTGGTGCAGACACCCTGCGAAATGAGATCATAGGTGATGTTTAACCTGGATCACAATACCAGGCTTCAGTGGAAGGTGCAATGTCAGGGGGTCCTCTGTGGGTATCCCAAGCCCTGGGGGCTCTCCCACCTGGCTGTGGGGGAAAGGGAGCCCAGCAAGGTGGAAGGGAAGGCAGAATGAGGGCAGGGAATGGGATAGGGTGGTGAAGAGCATCTCTTGCAGAGCATCATCTGTGGGAACAGAGCAACATTTTTGGGAACAAAGCGCCCTTCCCAGGGCCAGGGTCTCACTTGCCCCAGCCCTGCTGGCAGCAGCTCCCCGCAGTAAAAAAAGCACCTAGCCACTACTTTACAGCACACTGAGGGGGAAAAAAAAAAAAAAAAAAGGAAAAAAAATCTGACTTTTAAAAATAGGAGGCAGTAATAACTGTTAATTCACTATTTTTAATTTAAAGTTCAGTCACGAAAGGTTTCCAGCCATAACAGTGCATCTCACTCACTTAAGACAAGACACCCATACAACAGTCCCAGCCAGCCAGGGTTTCTCCCTGACAGATTCCCTGCTCTCAGCTGAATGCCATTTCCAGCACGGCAATCCCAACCATCGAAGGACAACAATCACACCTGTCTATGGGACAGCAGCACCACTGGTTTCTTCTCCAAGGAAAACATCATCAAAACCAACCCCTCTGGATGGAGGAGACCTGGAGCTGAGCTCCTCACCCTGAGAATAACAGAGCAGGAGGAGGACGGGTCAGTTGGACAAATCCCAGGCAGGGGTGACAGCCTGAAGCGCTGAGCAGAGATTTTTTAGTATCCATGCGCCACTCAGCAGATTTGCAAGGGCTCCTCAGGGAGGCTCCAGGGTGTCATCTGCTGAGGAAAAGTCAGAAGAGGTGGCAGCAACCAGGGTTTAGGGCAGCAGAGGTGGTAGCTTGCAGGCCTGCCCATCAGAGGACAGAGAAGGGACAAGGACAGGACCCCACAGCACAATGTGACTGCAGAAGCAAACCCTGGGACATCAGCAGAGGCTAAGCACAGTTTATCCAGCTGAGCAGGCACCCTGCAAACTTCCAGACCTGCCAAGATGATGGTTCTCCACCAGCATCTCTGGAGCAAGCCCTACCCATCTCCTGCTAACCCTTGCATAGTGTCCCAAGCCCCAGATGAGCAGGAATAGGCACCTTTTTCCTCTTTGAGGTCATTTATTTATAGACTTAAAGAAATAAAAATAGAAGAAGAGGTAAAGAGTGCTTGCCGAGGCAAAAGAAATGTTCATTGCAATGAAGCCAGAGCAGAAGGTGGGGTGGCAAGGGGTCCCTCTGCCCTTTTGAGGGGGAACATTCCTCCTGCATGCACAGAGGCAGAGGGCAGTGGGGCTCTCCCTTCAAACTTCGCCAAATTCATGTTCACAGTATCCAACGTAGAGAGGCTGTGCCTGGACACCACGCCTGGGAAGAGAACAGAAGGATGGCATCAGGGAGAGGGTACAGGCAGACACACCACCAGGTATGAGGGCTTCCAGTGGCACAGGGTGGCCGTGGGTACCCCGTTTCAGGTGTGACAAGGAGGGAGTGGTTTTCATCCTGTGCTTATAAACTCCGATTCTGCTCATGTGTGGGAGCACAGGGTGAGGACAGGTTTCCTGAGGAAGCTGGTGCTGCAGGAGGAGTGGCAAGAACTGACAAGTCCCCTCCTTCCTCAGCACAAAGCCCTCTCCTCGCCAGAGCCATCAGCCTACGCCAGCAACAGGAGCGCTCTTCCAGTGCTGCACAAAGCAAGCTCTGCCCACACACAGGCAGCAGAAAAACCAGGGCTTTCCAGAGGAACAAGGGTCATTTTTCAGCAGGGCAAGCCCTTCTCCCTTGCTGCCCTCCCAGGGTTGAGCCCAGAACAGTTACCCAAGCAGGGTGCAGCGGAACTCCGCCAGCCGGACATATGCGTCTTCCACGTTGCTGACAGTCTCATTGCTCCAGAGTCTTTCAGCTACAGCCCCACCTCTTGGCCTTGAAGACAAGGGACAGGCAGTCAGGACAGGGGGGAGTTCAAAAGATTCTTACATGAAGCCCTGAACTCCCAAGCACTTTTCTAACCAGCATCCTTCCACACACAAAGGCTTCAGAGTATCCCAAGATCTGTTGCTGGACGTGCCCATCAGGAGCAGACCAGGGTGACAGGACAGACAGGTGTTAAACACAACCTGGTTGCAGCAGCAGGTTGTTACAGCCTTGCAAACTCCCATTTCAGCCTCAGTGAAGCTGTTACCAGCACAGGGGAGAACAGGCACCATGTGCAGACCAAACACATTAGTTCAGCACATGACACTCGGTGGCAAAGAAAAGGGACGCAAGCCTGGCGTCATGCAACCCAAGTGACCTCCCTGTGGCCTCCCTTACCAGAGCCTGGGGGTCAGGTTGGTGACATCCACATATTCACCCCACATGCAGGCCTCGCCACCAATCACCAGGGCCTTCTGCTCAGGGCTGCCTGTGGAGGGGACAGCAAAACAGCCAGTTCTGGAACTAGGTCTGAGCTCCAAGCCAGCTGCCATGCAGAAAGGGGACAAAGGAACACACCTTCAAAGTTCAAGGGCTCCACCTTATAGGCTTCTATCCAGTCCTGCCCGTAGGAGATGCGGTTCAGGTACCAGGGTGCAGAGAGCAGAGCCCGGTAGCCAGACCTGGTGACATTGGCCATCTCGTTCAGGTACTGCATGCTGTTCTCCTTCCACACGTGGATGATGGTGTCAGGCCTCAGCTGAGGAGCACAGGTGAACATGGGGCAGGGGATCAGTGCAGTGACAGAACATCACCTGCTCCCCCGAGCAGAGTGCCCTGACCCCTCCACACCCCCAAAAGAAAGCTGAGGCAGACTTGGGCTTGA